TGTCTTTTTGGTCATTGCATCCTGTAATTTTTCCAAAAATGACAAGAAAAACACCTATCATGAATGCTCCAAATATATTCACTGATGGGTCAAATAATGGTACAGCAGCAGTAGTTACCCCTGATCAAACTTTTACATTTTTAGTACCCAAACAATCAGCTCAAAAGGTAGAGCTTAATGCAGTTTTACAAGCTTTTGTGATGTTTAAAGATTCTGTATTTAATTTATTTTCTGATAGTCAGTATGTAGTTAATGCTATAGTATCTCTTGAAGATGCTGGTAGGATTTCCCCTTCTTCTACTGTTTTCTCTTTGCTTTCCACTATACAAAGTCTAATCTGGGACAGAAAAGATCCATTCTTTATAGGACATATCAGGGCACATACAGGATTGCCTGGAGCCCTTAGTTTGGGCAATGATTTAGCAGATAAAACTACACATGACATACATATTTTCTCTACACTAGAAGAAGCTATAAATTTTCATAAAAAGTTCCATGTCAATGCTAATACTTTACAAAAGCGTTTTAAAATAACTAAGGAACAAGCTAGACAAATAATAAAACAATGTCAAAATTGTGTGACCTTTTTACCACAAGTTAATCTTGGAGTCAATCCTAGAGGATTGATACCTAACCATATTTGGCAGATGGACGTCACACACTTGCCAGAATTTGGAAAATTAAAATATTTGCATGTTACAGTTGATACTTCTTCTGGATTTTTGATGGGCTCCCTTCATGCCGGAGAAAAAACTAAAGATGTTATAGCTCATTGCTTACAAAATTTTGCCACTGTGGGTGTTCCAAAACAGTTAAAAACAGATAATGCCCCTGGTTATACTTCTACCTCTTTTAAACAATTTTGCTCAACATTTGGCATTACTCATATAACAGGAATCCCATACAATCCACAGGGACAAGGCATAGTTGAAAGAGCTCATCAAACTATTAAAATGTACTTATTAAAGCAAAAAGAAGGAATTGGGAAGGGGTATATATTCCCCAAAGATAAACTTAAAATAACCCTTTTTACTCTAAACTTTTTAAATTTGGATTCATCAGGACTTAGTGCTGCGGAAAGGCATATGTGTCCAAAAAATGTACATAAGCCCAAGGTACTTTGGAAGGATATTCTAACAGGACAATGGAAAGGTCCTGACCCAGTAATTGTCTGGAGTCGGGGGTCTGTTTGTGTGTTTCCACAGGGAGAACAGCAGCCGATTTGGATTCCAGAGAGATTAACCAAGGTCCTGACCCAGTGATTGTCTGGAGTCGGGGGTCTGTTTATGTGTTTCCACAGGGAGAACAGCAGCCGATTTGGATTCCAGAAAGATTAACTAAAGCGATTTCTACAGACCAAAAAGAAGATGATTTGGCTCAAATCCATAACAACTGATATCCAAAACTCCAGTTTGGCTATTCTTACATCTGCAACAGAACCAGGATGCTTTTTTCAATATCTATTTTATTATTGCCCTTTGCCATATCATGAAGTTCTATTTTGTTTTTTGAGCTCATACAGACCTAGGTTAATGTTTTGATGATCAGTTCTATTTTTTGACTATAGAGTTTTTAAACATTGCAATGGAGATTTCACCTGTAAAAAGTTATAAGGCCTTTACTATAATGTTATGTGTTGTATGTATTATATTATGTGTGCACACTTGTGTTTTGTGTTATATGTTTGAATGTACGTATGTCCATATATCATATATGATGAGCGCTCATGATAAAATGGATCCAAATATTTTTTTTCACGTGATTTATATGGTTTAATTTAAATTGGGTAAACAACTGTTGAGGATTGTTTTAATATGTAAACAAAAAAGAAGGTTAACAGATCTGTTTGTTTACTTTCACCTTTCCTTTTCATTATATTTAATAATTCTCTTAAAGACAATGTAAATTGTTAAGAAAATTGTTTTCTTTTAGTGCCTTCTGTAATGTTACATAATTTTTTCTTTAGCCATTATTGCCAGAATTCCTATCTTCATCCCAGTGCCGGTGAAGACAATGTAAATTGTTAAGAAAATTGTTTTCTTTTAGTGCCTTCTGGAATGTTACATAATTTTTTCTTTAGCCATTATTGCCAGAATTCCTATCTTCATCCCAGTGCTGGTGAAGTCAAAGATAAAACCAATCTACAGCTTCTACAATAGCCATCACTGAACTGCTTGCAGAACTTGCCTGGACACATTGTGAGCTCACCTATATGCATTGTGAACTATCTGTTGGTGCAGCGACTTATGGTAGTGTTGGGGTATTTTTGCTGATGATGTCACCGGTGGTACAATTTTTCAAAGGAGCCCTCAATTGGCTTAATGTCATGGCATTTTGCATCCTCCTCTACTAGTGATGGTCTAAAATTTGGGGGCCAACAGAGGTGAGGCAAAGAACCTCACCCCCCCACAGGTGCAAAGGCCTATCCACAAGTATGGCTGTATGCTGGACCGGTAGTCAGTGACGGGTATGATCCAATTGCAGTGGTACCAACCTAAGACAGGAGGCTGACGCCTAGAGGTCAGTTCATCCGATGACGGGTAAGGACCATATGTTGAATTGGACTGCCTAACAGGCACGGTCCCTAAGCCACATGCTTGTTGTTTAAACAGAGAGGGGGAGATGTTGAGAGCCACAGCCTGAGGGGCCCCAGCAAACTTCCAGCTGCCAGCAAACTTCCAGCTGCCGGCTGATGATTGGCTCACAGCAGCCCCAGCAACATCTAGCTGATTGGCTCCTCGGCCCCAGCAACATCTAGCTGATTGGCTCCTCTGCGGTGATGCTCATTGGACTGTTTCCCTGCCCTTTCAGACCACAGAGCTGCTCATTGGGGGACTTTTTTGGCTCCGCCCACGTGACCCAGCCAATCGGCCTCAAGAGCAGGAGGATTGTGGGAGGTGGGGAGAAGCTTGGGGGGGAGAGAGAGGCTTGGGGAAAGCCGGTGGTGGCAGTTGAGGCTCTGAGGGTTTTTCCTGAGAGACTATTTTCTTTGTCGTGTGTGGTTCTAAAAATAAAGTTAGTTTCTTTTGACAAGTGGCTCCTGATTGTGCCCAGCCAGACTGCGGCAGTTGTTTTGTTTTTATTTTATTTGTGCTTGTGTGGTGCTGGAGTTGGAACCCAGGACCTCGTGCATGTTAGGCAAGTGCTCTACTGCTGAACTATACCCCAGCCCCTAGCCTCTGAAGTTTAGACCCTACATGAAAACACCAGAGCATTTTGAGGCTGCGTCTCAGGACTCAGCTGAGTTTTCAGTGGGATAGATGCAATGGAGCAGGCGACAGGGGGCGCTGTGGTAAGGCAGGTGGAGGCAGCGTAGCTCTTCCAGCTGGGCCTTCCTGACAGCTTCTGTAGGCACCTTCAGTTCCCTTCAGAATCCAGAAGGAAGTGTTGGCCCAGAAAGGCTGTCCTGATGCTGTGGTGGCGTTAAATCCCCAAGTATGCAAATTAAGGGCATCAAGGAAAGCCAGGCTGACAGTGCTGTGCATAGTAAGTGAGAAGCACTGGTGGTAATTAAGGAGGCTTTTTGGAAGCTGACCTTTTAACTTTGAACAGATCTGTTGGTTAAAGAGAGAGTTTCTGCTGGGTGCTGTGGCGCATGCCTGGAATCCCAGCAGCTCGGAAGGCTGAGGCAGGAGGATCAAGAGTTCAAAGCCAGACTCAACAAAAGCAAGGCACTAAGCAACTCAGTGAGACCTTGTCTCTAAATAAAATATAAAATAGGGCTGGGGATGGGGCTCAGTGGTCAAGTGCCACTGAGTTCAATCCCTGGTATCCAAAAAAAAAAAAAAAAAAAAAAAGAGAGAGAGAGAGAGATTCTGTGGCTGCCTCTGGTTTGGTTGGAATGCATTGGTGGAGGTAGGAGACAGTTAAATGTCATGATGGTGACAGACTGGGCAGTGGCATGGGCACAGGAGGTACTGCCCCCTCTGGGTTCCTATATGTAGTGAAGGGACACACTAGAGGTGACACTTATACTTCAGTTTTGTGGTTTTTTTTTTAAATGATGTGTATGTGTGTGTGTGTGTGCGTGTGTCTATTGTTGTTATCTATTTATTTGTTTATGTGGTGATGGGGATTGAACCCAGGGCCTCATGAATGCTAGGCAAGTGCTTTACCACTTAGCTATCTCCCCAGCTCTATATTTCAGTTTTTTAATACATTCTGTAACTTCCAAAGAACAGGGTGTGTGTATGAGTATTTTTAACTATTGAGTTTCACAAGTCAACAGAAGTGGTGCTCGATTTAAATTTCTGCTCTTCCCTCTCTGTTGTGTTTTCATTTAAGGGAGTGTAGTGGTCATGCTTTCCATTCGGTTTTTCTGTTTGGGCAGGTGTATGTTGAAATCATCAGAGTGCAACATCAAGAAAGAAGCACGGTCTGGGAGCAGGATTGCTGGGGGTGAACCTTGGCCATTGGCCCACAGTCCGGCTCCTAATGTGCTCTTACGCCCTTGGGTTAGAGTCAGCTCACCTGCCAACAACAGGTCTGGGCTTGGCGAGCGAGCTCAGTGTCAGTGGTTGCTGATTTATTGAGGAAACCTAGAGTGAGCCTGAATTTCCCATCGCACATCAATTTCTCCTTTCCTTTCTGCTCAATTTGCCTACAGTTCCCGCTTCCACAGGTGAGGGTGGATGTTCTACTCAGAGGCATCACCGCGAGCCTTCTGTTCTCTTTAGCTAAACAGCCCCAGCAATTGATTTCCTTGCCATTAGGAAAATGCCTGTATTTTAGGATGCACCACAGTACATGGGTGTTATTTCTCTGCCTCCTCTCCAAGGAAATACATGCTGAAGTAAGTTTTGTGGTTTTGTGCACACCCAGTAGCACTGCTGAAAGCCAGGCTCTTGCCAGCCTTGTCGTGGCAGCGATTGCAGGAAGAGAGGAGCAGAATAGGTTTTGCCAGTGCACTTGGCATTGCAGAGGGCTTGCGCTGACTTTCCAGCACTGTGACAGGCCTGGCTAAGAACCATTTCCTAACAGGCTGTGCTCTCTCCTCCTAGGCGTGGGCTGATGCCTTTCGGAGCAGTCCTGACCTCACCGGTGTTGTGCACATCTATGAGGAGCTGAAGAGGAAGGGGGTCGAATTTCCCATGGCAGACTTGGATGCGCTGTCTCCCATCCATACACCCCAGCGGGTAAGCGTCCAGCTGGCATTTTCTAGAACGATGGACTGTAGAACAGGGGAGCCAAGCCGCTGCCACCACCCTTCTGCCACTGCCTTTGAATTATTCAGCTTGTCATCATGCTTTCTTAAAGCTCCAGGGCATTTCTTTTTAATAACAAGGGGAATGCAGAAGTGAGACAGCTGGTTTACTGGTGATTAAGTGGCAGCAGTGTCCCCCCCTGGTTTTCACACTGACTGTGGAGGAATATAATAGAGGGATCAGTTCAGGCGTTTTCATGGAAATGGCTGCTTGGGCGGAGCCATCCTGTGAGGGTCATTAGCACCTGCTCTGCCAAGGCCTGTAGAAGGTGTTATGGGAATCTGTCCTCTTTCCTGTCAGCACCAAAGCACCTCAGAGCGGTACAGCAGGGTGACTTTACTCTTACTCCAGCAAAGAGCAGTGTTTACTTTTTTCAACTGTGTAAATCAAATGTTTTATTTTCCTTTTCTTTTAATATGGTGCTAGCAGTTGAACCCAGGGCGTCATGCATGCTAAGTACACTCTCTACACCGAAGTCCCAGAGTGTCCCCAGCCCAATTAGATGGATCTCAAATGTATTTTGATCTATGAGCCTTCAACATCAGTCTAGAAATCTTTGAATTCCAGCAGCTGTGGGATGCAGAGCCCAGGAATGGTCTGTGTCTGAGCATCCCACCGACACTCTCAGATGCCAGCAGTGGACGGGGCAGCTCTGCACTTCAGAATTAAGAGCATGCAGATGTACAACTGTAATGCCCCCAAAAAACATGGAAAGAAGTCACGCACATGATGCCAGTCATGGTTTCACAGGGAATCTGATCCTGTTATTGACTGGGAACCAGCTCCTAGCTCAAGGAGAGAGCCTGAAAAGCTCCAGGTCTGGAGAAGCACCAGTCATAGCACATTTGGCCTTGCTGGCCCTCATCTGCTCATGTCTTCAAGGAGGACAGTGTGCTATGTGTGTGTCTCTTGTGAACATATGCAGTAATGTTCACAAGGTTATTTGAGATGCCCTACCTCTATGGACAGAACAGTCCATCCCCACATGCTTTGAAGGAAAGCACAAGGCATTATTCTCATTATGATCCCTCCAAACCACTTACTATGCTTAGTGGAATAAACATAACCTGCTTTATTCTTCTAATAATGACACAGAACAGTGTTGTTCCTATAATTACAAAGAACATTCAGTAAATTGCATAATTGCTATTTATATTAATCTACTTGTAAAGGCCAAAACGTAATCTTATGGTTCCAAATAAAGATTCATGATTAGCAAAACTTAATAACAGCCCTCCTTCCACTTGGATCCCAAGGTGGTCTTAACAATGGAACTATGACCAGAATGCTCATGGAGCATTCTCCACAGCCTCTTGGAGTTACACTGGTTGTCTGCTAGGGACAAGGACAGGAGACCTTGTGAGGAGTGTGGAGGGAGGAGCCACCACTGGTGGCTTCACTGCCCAGATGGTAAAATCGGGTGGGCTCTGTGAACTCTGATAGAAAGCACAGCCCAGGCTGGGGGAGGTGCCTGGTCTGGCCACACAGGCAGCCCAACAAAACGGAGGACTTTTTTGTTGCCATGCCAGAGTGTCCCAGAAGTAGATCCAGCCTCGACCATGCCCAGGTCCCAGTCGCAGCAGAGGACCAATGCCAGCTCCTATTCCTCGCCTCCTCCTGCTTCCTACTCCGCTCCCCAGGCCCCGGCTCTCAGTGTGACTGGTCCCATCACGGCCAATTCAGAACAGGTACTTGTGTGCTTCTGGGCCATAAACAAGCCAGCTGATGACCCTCCTTCACCTTCCCAGCATATAGAAGCCTACCCAGGCCAGGGAGTGCCCTGGGTGTGGGGCACAAAGATGGAAGGACCCAAGACCTGGGGGAGATGACTGCAAGACGATCATAATAGAGTGTGGTCACACCATGGTGAGGAGCAGAGCCCAGTGCTCTGGTGTACCAGGGTTGAGCAGTCCCTGGAAGAGAGCCCAGGAGCTGAGGCAGTGAGGACCCTGGAACAGGCATGGGGCTTTGTCAGGTGAGGCCCTGCTCAGGCGGTAGCATCAGTGCATGCAAAACACAAAGGATTGGGAATCATTGGGAAATGGCTGATGTGGGTGTTGGACCCAGGTAGAGGAAGAAATCGTTGCATAAAGTGAGGCCAAAAGCAGAGGAATGCAGTTGAGTTGTGAATGAACTTGTCTGTCACACAAAGAGGTTTACGTCAGTCCCATAGGAAATGTCAGCCATCAGAGAAGAAGGTGCCGGTGGGGGCAGAGTCCAAAGTCAGGGAGGCCTCCAGAAGCACTCTGTTTGCTTTATCCCAAACACTGCCCCATTCCCTGGATTACGTTCTGATAAGCTGATGCAGTTTTACCCCAAACCACTATTTTTAGATGCATTGTTAAGACTGGTCTTCAGATGAATCTATAGAATTTCCATTAAAATTTAAGAATTAAGAGTTAAAATTTAAGAATTCTTAAGCTTTGAAAAAATGATCTCAAATGTTTGTACTTCAGAATCCTTATTTCCTCATTGTGACACGTAGTTATTATGAAACCTCACTGAAATAGAGGAGTCAGGGGATTGTGTGTAGGTGACACCAGTGTTGACATCAGTGGGGCTTTACTGCTTGTGGGCCTGGGTCACTGAGTGCCACTCCTCCTCTTTACACACATGAGGTCTTCCCTAAAATGGAAGCCCTGGGGCAGAAGGCTTTGGCTCTAGGCGCTGCCTCCATGGGCAGAACTGTCACTGTGTGCTTTGAGGGAAGGCAGAATGTGTTTGAAGTTGGATAGTCTCTGAGTCCCTTGGCTCACTGACCTTCAGTGCAGCAGGTGCTGGGTCGGGCTTTCCAGTGCCAGAACAGCCAAGAGGACGGTCTGGAGAGAGGGAGAGGGCCCGGGTGCATGGCACCAGTTGCCGCCAGGGGGCATGGAAGCGAGACAGAAGGCTGGTGCCCAGCCTGACCTAGAGACCCCAAGGCTTCAGTGTGGTCACCAGGTAGCATGCCTGGGCCTCCCTGCCCAGAAACCTCTTCATGGCCAAGGCATTGAAGCCATCCATCAGGCGAGCCAGGCAACAAGAGCCTCTCAGGACTTGGACCATCTCTCTCTGACGGATTGAGGTCTCCCGTCCTTGTCCCTGTGCTAAGGGTACAGAACTCAACCACCACACAGCCCTGAGAAGTTAAGGGTCTGCTGAGAGAGCCCACTTGCCCAGGAGAGGCTGAAGGAGGCTGGGAGTGGCCGTTTCCACCTCAGGGCAGGCAAGAGAGAGCAGAAAAGGGCTGACTGAGGAGAGGAGGTGTCGCTTGATCAGAGTCCCAGTGCAGATGAGCACAGGAGTGGAGCCCACATGTGGGGCAGAGAGAGTACGTGTGTGCCCATTTGCTGGATGGGCAGCGCAGCGACCCATGGGGTCTGGGGTTAGGCCTTTCCCTAGACCCAGAGAGTCGGGTCCATCTCTGGGTGGTAGAGCCCTAAGCTTGCTGAATCTTTCGGAGCTCCTTCTACTGTCCCGACAGTTCTCTGTCTAGTGTGTGTTGGTCTTCCATCAGCAATAGACAGGTCTATGGAAATTTTTCCAGGATATCTCACTGTGGACAAGGAAGGTCCTTGTGGCTTCCACAGATGCCTCGAAGGGGTTTAGAGAAACTCAGGGCTGGAGACCCAGAAGAGGCGGTTTATGTGGTCTACTGTGTCTCTGCTGGAGAGTGTGCGGGGCCTCTGCCTAGGGGTGCTAATGGGTGGGAGATTTTTCAAGGTCAGGTTACCAGGTAGGGAGCTGGGTGTGGGGGAATGCCCCCTATGATTTTTCTCTTGCTCCTCCTCTTATCATTGCCACACCAGAAAAGTGTTCTTAGCACTGGAAGGCCTCCCAGAGAATCGTAGCTTTTAGATGATGACACTCAAGGGGCAGAGCCTGTAACCGTGAGGTCCTGTGGGGAGAGTGCTGAGACCGCAAGCTTGGTTCTTCAGTTTTTTCTGCCCCAGTTCCCGTCACTGCACACTGCTCTTCAGTTAGCGTCACAGGCAGAGAGGCACCTGTGACTGACCGTTGGTGACCAGGGCCTCTGGGACAGCCTTGCTCCCGCATTCAGTTCTTCTGAGCTGCCAAGCTGCCGTCCCCTCCCAGGCAGCCAGAGGGAAAAGAGAAGGCAGATCCTAGAGCATACACTCAGAATGACGTGGGTGTCGTGGTGGATGGGACCATCCCCATCCTGTGGGGCTGGCTGGTTCGGATCTTCCAAGCGCAGATCACTGACCTCCCCTTGGCTCCTTCCTCCCTGCCACACTACAGATTGCCAGGCTGCGGAGTGAGCTGGACGTTGTCCGGGGAAACACAAAAGTCATGTCGGAGATGTTAACAGAGATGGTCCCTGGACAGGAAGATTCATCAGACCTGGAGCTGCTTCAGGTGAGGAGAACCCCGTTTTGTGGAGTTGCAGGGCTGAGCACAGGGTCACAGCCTGTGGGGGCAGCACCACTGCTGCACGCTGTGGCAGGACCCCTCTTGGGGACGTCACAACCGTGAGTTTGGACAGTTTGGTAGCATTGTTGTCAGGAAGGATTAAGTCCTTGGGGGCTCATAGCCTCGTGCTCTCCTAGGGACAGATAGAGACCACTACCACCTTATTTTTTATTTTCCTTAATTATATGTTGTCCTGATTAGAAAGTGCCAATTGTAGAGTACATGTCCATCAAACGAAAAAGAAAGTCAAGAACAAAATAATTTTCTGTAACCCACACATCCACAATAACCACTGTTGACTTTTTGTTGTATTTCCTTTCAGGGTGTTTGCTGTGTTTATTTTAAATCTAGTTGAGATGATGCTATGTGTCCCAGTCTGTGTGTGCCTTTGCTGCCTGTTGTCAGATCACGGACATTGTGTAGCGGGGCCCATTGTGTAGCCATGACAGCACGTAGGGCCCTTCCCCCACCCCCACCCTGAGTCAGGAATTCCTGAGACTGGAGTGAACTTGAAGCTCCTGTTCTCTTCCCAAATGCTGAGGCCCAGGCTCACATCATGATTTCCAAGGAGCTGCTGTACCTGGCCTCCCAACTCTGATCACCCTTCAAAAATTTTTTTTCCAATAGTGGGGATCAAATGCAGAGCCTCATGCATGCCAAGAAAGTGCTGTGCCACTGAGCCAAACCCCGAGCCTACACTACAAACCTCGGACATGGCAAGAAAGGGCCCTTGAGCAAGCTCGCCTGCCGTCCCATCCTTGGACTAGAAGCAGGAGCCCCTTTTGGATCTATTTCCCAGGCCAACCAGGCCCAAAGCCAGTGACCATACTAGCCTCAGATGACTCTGACATTTGTAGAAAATGGCAGCAACACTGCCCTCAGGAGCAATGACCTTCTAGAGAGGTGGAGAAAGGATACTGTGAACTACAAATGCCAGGTCTTTATAGCAGGTTGCAAGACATGGAAGTAGACAGGTCAGGAGCCAGCCTGACTGGGCAACCTGGTGTGAGTGGCTCTCACTGCACCTGCTGCTTCTGTTTCTGGTTGGTACTCAGTCATCAGCCTTGGCTCCTGAGTACCACACCTCCCACCCTGCTATTGGCACACACTGACTCCCTGGGCAGCTTGACTCTCGTGGCCTTACCCTTTGGGACAGCACATTCCTGGTGGCTTAACCTTGTCCCAGGCTACTTCTTGGAGTGCCCAGTCCCCATTCCAGACCATCAGCTCCTGTGAGGGTGAGGGTGGGTGGAGCCCTGCACTAGGACCAGCTCAGAGCACAGCCCCAGGGCCGCAAACAGGCAGGAGCTATAGTCCCTGCTCTGGAAGACTTCACAATAGAAGGACAGCTTTCCTCCATGTAACCTGGACACCAAGCTGCTCTTGAAGCTAAGAAGCGTACCCTTGACCTAGCCCTAGTGAGGAGCTCAAGCAGCCCCTAGTTTCCAGACCTATTCCTGACACCTGACTGTTCGGCTCAGCGGGATCAACTATCCATGTGTCACACTCCATGGGACTTGCCTCCCTTTAATGCATTGTCATTGGCCTCCATCCCCAGCCTACAGGAAGGCAGCTGCCAGGCATTACCCAGATGCACAGGAATCTGAGGGCCGTTCAGAAACCAAGAGGGCCTCTTGAGGCAGCTTTGTGCTGTGTCAGCGTCGGAATTCCTGCTGACAGGGGGGTTTGCTCTGGACAGAACTGAGCTCCTGGCAGCAGGCGGTGTGTTGAACAAAGCCAAGATGCTTCCAGACAGCCAGAGCAGACCCAGACAGCAGGAATACTCTGTGTGTGTGTGCGCGTGCACTCATGTGCACGTGCATGCATGCTAGTATGTGTGTGTGCGTGTGTCTCTGTGTGTGTGTCTGTGTGGTTTTTGTTGTTGTTGTTGTTTTTTAAACAAGCCCTTCAGCCAAGACAAACAGAACCTAATCTCCTGGCATCAGCTCACAGTTTTCAAAAATAGGTTGCTTCCCATGACGTTTTCTTTTCCTCTGTTTTGTTCCAACTCTGAGCCTCCCAGCCCTCACTGCTGTCGTATAAATCAAACAGAAAAAGGCCAATTCTGGGGGCCTGTGGGAGGCTGTCCTTTCGGCATGGGAGATGTGAGAGTGGGCAGGATCGTGTGAACATATTCAGTGCTCCTGGCTGGTGGCCACGTGCCTGACATCCTCCCTCTTCTTCCCTGGCTGTCAGAAGCCAGCAGGCAGGAGCTCCCAAGGGTCGGTGCAGCACGGAACAGTGAGCCTTCCACATGGGAAAATGCCACAGACTGCTCGGAAAGCCCTGGGATCAGAATCTGTCCCAGACCCCTCAGTCAAGCTGGAGGACATCCAAAGTGCTCAGAGCAGCCGCAGCCAGAGCTCAGAGTGCTGGCCAGGGCCGTGGAAATAAACACATTTGTCACCAGCCCTGATCTCCCCACCAACAGAAGCTGCTCCTGATTCAAGTGTAAATTGATGTCTAGAAAGTAGAGGGAGTGGGAAGAGAGGTCATCCGGAGGGTCAGCCCTGGGGTGCTCTGGTGTGGCCAATCGTAATTGTGGGCAGGTTATATCCTGATTTTTCCTGTGCCTGGCACAGTTCTCTGGCGTACCCTCCTACAGCCCAGCAAGAACAGCAGGGAAGCTGGTGAGCAATTTGCCTGAGGACTGGTGGGCAGGTGGCTGGTATCTAAAGAAAGGCTGAGTCCACTCTGGACCCCTGTTTGGTCAGGTTAGCATGAACCCGAGAAAAAGGGAAGCAGGATGCCTGGAGTGGGAACACAGCAACGCCTCTCAGGCCGGTTGTTGACCCCTCCACTCCTTGAGCTGAGAGAGACCTTCTGGGCTGTTAGTCCAACTCCACACTTGTGCTCAGGCTTCCTCTCCAGCATTTGTCCTAGTGCCTGCTGTTTGGGGTTTCCCCCCCCCCACATCCCTAATTACAGGCTGTTCCCACAGACCCTGAAAGCACTTTATTTTTAGATAGAGGTCTTGGTTAGACTTTGGAAATAGCACAAGGTGGAGAGAACATGGTTTACAGATCACTGGGTGCATATCCTCATCTTCCCACTGATGAGCCAAGTGATACCAGGCAAGTCTCCAGCCCTCTCTCCATCTGCTTCTCCCTTGGTGGCCTGAAGTGATTGCATTTACTTACCATGCAGGTGTGTGGCACTGGGCTGGGCTCAGGCAAGTCCTCCACAGGTTGTCACTTCTATGACCACTGTTAGAAAGCTCTTCTGCTTTCTCGAGCTCAAATCTGTTTTTCTGAGGCTTCGACCCTGGTCTGTCCTAGACAACAGAACAAAATGAATTCCTTTCTACATGGTGGGTCCTTGAGTATTACAAGATTGCCATGGGCCCTGCCCACTGCCCAGTCTCTTCATGGAACAGGTGTGGCTCTTGATAGCTCACCTTATTGATGAGCAGGCAACTCATCAATGTCACAAGTCAGAAATTGTCAAAAGGAGAGCTTCCATCATATAAAACCCTTCCCAATCTGTGGGGCTGTTGAGCCACATCCTCCTAATCCTGTGCATGGACCCTTGAGTGTAGGCCCAAAATGTGAAACAGCATCTGTCCCTGCTAAAGCACATGCCTTTATCTGGAGCTGAGTGCCACTTCCTAGGATCTCAAAAGATCCGATTCCATCATCTGGTGCCCTCTCCCTCTTAATTTAGGCTTTTGAGCTTTGCTTTCAATTAATAATAACTTTTAATTCATCCAATGGTGTAAAAAATGGACGTTCTTCAATGGCCATTCATCAGACAACAAAAGAAGCTGACTCCAAATTTGTTCCTTTAAGTAGCAGATGGTATATCTCTCCTTGCTTCTTGCATCTGATTTCAACAAAGAATGGCCAAAACCATTTTCTCTAGAGAAATCTGGTTTATTCTGCATGTTGCGCTTCATTATTTCCCCTTTCTTGCTAACAGACTTTTTTCTCCCTCCCAGTGCCCTTGTGGCAACAGAACAGGCTTTTAGGATCTTCTTCCATGCTTCTGGGAACTGAGAGAGGGTCCAGAGGAAACAACAAGGATGATTAAAAGACTTTTGTGAGGTGGGGCTGGGACTGTCCCTTGAAGAAAAGAAAAAGACCTGAAATTAATTAATTCAACAGAAAAGAGAAGATATTTAATAAGGTCTTCTGATAGATGGAATACTTTTGCCTAAGTGACCAGCTGTCCTCCCTCTCTGTTGAGAACCAGAAATAGGAAGCTGAAGCTGTAATCTGTGACACTGGGGGGATTCCTGTCCAGCTTTCCAGCTCCTGTGTAGTTGAAAGGGTGTCCTGGGCTTGCTATGAGCTCTTGAGTACCTTAGACCAAGAAGAAGTCACTCTGTCTGGTGCTTTAGAGGTGGAGGGAGATGGGGAAGTCTGAAACTGAGCATGCCATAGGGCTGGCTTGGATGACACTGGGGAGGCCATGTGGGTGGCCATCTGGTGTGGTGGTGACAGAAAATCTTTTTTTTTTTTAAGTACTGGGCATGAACTCAGGGGTACTATACCACTGAGCTACACCCCCACACCCCTGACCTTTTTCTGTTTTCTATTTTCATTAGGGTCTTGCTAAATTGCCGAGGTTGACCTTGAATTTGCATCCTCCTGCCTCATCTTCCCCTAGTAGCTGATATTACAGTTGTGCACCACGGTGCCCAGCTTTTCTTCCTTTCTGAAACAGTAACTTAAAATGCTTTAAAGCCAAGAATGGTAACTTTCTCTGTACCGAGACCCCTAGAGACCCTGTGGACCTATCTCTGGGTGAAAGGCTGGGAAAAGCCGTTGGGATGCCCCTCTAGGACGGAAGCCTGTGAGGCTCTGCCAGAGGCGTGAGGACCATCTCTGCTGCCACCCCGCAGGAAGTAGTGGGGACGAGGCAGCAAAAGTGAGGCTATAGTGGATGTTTCTGGCACTTAGCATCCATGAAATCTCTACAGTCTATACCTTTGGGTCTCATTCTTCCTCCAAGCTGAGGTCATAATGTTAGTGCCTCAGTAATCCTCTAGCACTTTCCAAACAGTATTTGAAAGTAATGGAACCCTTTCCTCCACAAATAAAATTCTACAGAGAATGACAATGTTTAAAATACATAAAAGCAGAGTTGCCCTGGCTGCCCTAGGGCAATGCAGTGACATTCTGTGGCACTTCCCCCTTGTTACACATGTATGCAGCCCCCTTATTTTATGCAGGGAGAGCATCAGGGCCGTGGATTGCTTATCTGCTCATGGCCACTTGCTGCCTGCTGCTTGGTCTCAGTACCCAGCTGGAACGCTATGGGAGAGAGAGAGATGAGCCCTTGTCTTCTCTCATTCAGCTCTCTTGGTGCTTGAGGGTTTGTAGTCACATTTTAGAGACATTCCCTGAAGCTTGCTGAAGAGTCTGGTTTGGCATCTCTCTGAATCCAGGGGAACACCCCAGGCCTGCTCTTGTCCTGAGACTCCCACAGTTCAGGGTAGTGGTAGGGCTGGTTATCACTTGGAGGCTGGAGGCTCTCCCAGAAGAGCTCTGATGTCGTCTGGCTTGGCAGCTGCAGTTAAGGTGTGTTTATAATGCTGTGAGAAAATGATGAGAATCAGTGGCTGGGGGTCCCGGAATTGAGGGTAGACTACAAGTGGTAGTATGTTTACTTTGCTGTATGTTTGAAGTTTTGCATGATGAGATACTGGGGTGGGGAAACACCCTAAGGTCTTGAAGGATGAGTGGAAGTGATGGAAAAGAAAGTAAGAGATATTACAAGCAGCAGGCTGACTTCTCAGCAGCCCCTGAGCTGCATGGTGAGTGCCTGAGGCCACCTGCTGTCTTGGAAAGTCTAAGGGGTTAGAGGTATGTTGGGGTTGGTTTCTGATACCCCAAGGTTCTGGAGAACCTTAAAGCTATTTCCCATAATGTTCCTCCCAACACTTCTCTGACTTGTAGGTCTTATGCCTTATAGTGACAAGTGATGGGCTTTCTTCCTTCCCCTGCCGCAACCAAGTGTAGCCAGGGCTTGTTGCTTTACCCAAGCACCAGACAAGGGCCATGTTTGCCTGCCCTGAGCTTATGTGGTAGGATCTGTCTTCACTGGAAGACTCTTAGGAATGATTGCCTAAGGCAGGAGTCTTGGGAAAGCCAACACTGGGAGTCTATTTAGAGAAAAATCTGAAAAGATTCAGATACTGGCTTTCTTTCCCCAGTGACCAAGAGAGTCTGACAGCACCATTCTGGCTGAGGGTAGAACCAAGACAAACGGCAACATTGCCATGGTCAGAGAGTCAGGGCTCAGCAAGATGACCAGATCCAGGGTTGAGGAATCTCCAAGGAAGCTTGTTATCAATGTGAAACCAAACTCATGAGCACCCAGCTGCACATATCCAGGTTCTTTCTGCCTTGAAAAATATGACTGTACTCAGGTGATTCTGGGTCCATCCACGTGGTCAGGTCTTCTTCCCCAGCTGTCCCCATTCTTAGGAAAGGAGCCCTGGGACTGAGCACCAGGAGGAGAGAAAGACAAAGCAACCCATTAAGGTCCCCCCTGTTCCTACCTGAAGGGTAGGCCCAGCGTAGGCCTTGTAGCAGTGAAATCAGAAATACTGTCTGAGGGCTGGGGTATAGCTCAGTTGGCAGAGTGCTTGCTTCACATGCACAAGGCCCTGGGTTCGATCCCCAGCACCACAAACAAAAAAAAAAAAAAGAAAGAAATGTTGTCTGATGCCATGGACTGCATGTGGACTGCATGTGGGCTGAGGGGATGTGGCCTGCCTGCCTGCCTGCCTTCCTGGGAGCTAGGAAGAATGACATGGAGCCTTGGTCTAGAGTGGGAGGCTGACGAGAACCCAGCAGTGGCAACCCTGAGGCAGGCGCTGTGTTGCCAGGTCCTGGGGAGCCTGCAGAAGGACTGCCTGGGATTCCCTACTTTGCTCATTTGACCACCTCAGTGACCCAATTCAGCAGATGCCCCTTGGACGTCTTCACTGTGCACGACTCAGTGCTCAGCTTAAGGACATCCACGGGTGAATATATGACAGCGTTCCACTCAAGAAGGTCATGATCTGGTAGGAAGGAGCCCTGGCCCAGGCAGCCAGATGGTGTGACGAAAGCAGGAGCTAAGCAGAGATTGCTTTTGCCTGCTGCAAATGGATCAGTTACTTCTGCCAGACACATTTTCAAACTGAGGTAATTCTGAGACTGAGCTGCAGGAAGGGAAACTTCATTCCTTAACTCACTGACTCATCAGCTGCCTCCAGCGTCCAGGTAGGTAAGGACGGCATCCTGGCCCTCCCTTCACCCTGTTGGGATTTGGAGCTTTGTCCGCAGGCAGCTCATGTAGTCAGGGAAGTTGAGGAGCCAGCCTGACAGGCCTGGCACTGATCTCATCTGTAGCGTCCTCAGTCTGGCATACAAGAGGGCAGGGGCCTGGAAGGTATTTGAGGGGGCTTCCCAAACAAGTTTAAGTGAGAGTGTTAGTGAGGTGGCTGTTCTGGGGCAGGGAAGGCTCACAGAAGCCAGGCCATAAAGTACAAGGCTCTGTCCTCAGGGGACATTGCTTCCAAAGGTTGAGAGGCTCCTGTGGTGACTGGTGGTGTGTGATTATCATCTTTGGCCTATGGGAGTTGGTGGAGCTTCCAAGACCTCTACACAGTGACAGTTGTGCCACCGCACAGCACCTATATGGTCATAAAATATACTTATGCCATTGCTGGTAGTATGAATAAACTGATGTCATCCTTTTTGGAGAGCCTCTGACTATTACCAGTCAGTATTCTAAAAGACCATACGTACTACTTAATTCAAAAATTCCCCTCCTGAGGAACTCTGCCTGTGGAAGTGCAGTAAGTGTGTGAACATGTATGTGTGCAAGTATTCACTGCTACATTATTTGGGTTAGCCAAACAAAGAGAGAACACACACAAGTCACATGCCCAACATGGCAGAATGATAAGCTACATTACAGTGCACACACAAAGGATTGAGTCATTCTGTACCCAATGATGAGGGAAATGGGTCTGAAATATTTTGTTGAAGGGAAAAAGCAAGCCACAAAGAATCACATTTTTGCAAGCACATATGATTGTGTGTGTGTGTGTGTGTGTGTGTGTTTTCCTTCATTGCTGGGGATAGAACCCAGGGCCTTGTTCATGTTAGGCAAGCACTGTACCACTGAGCTACAACCTCAGCCCCTAAGAATTGCATTTTTATATTTTAAAAATGATGTACTCATATTCACACAACAACTGTCTGTACATGTGGACACTTGTTCATGCACTGGAAAAGCACCCGTTTCCTGGGGTGGGAGGGGCAGACGGTGAGGAGGGAGCTTTTTCCTTTGCATTCTGCACACGTCTGGTTTTATGAACAAGCATGTACTCCTTCTGTGACTTTTAAGAATCAGTACAAATCTTTTCAAAGGCAATAGAACGTGACAAAAAGCGTTCCCAGCAGGCTCTGCAGAGGTGCCTGTGTTCCCTAGGAGCTGAACAGGACCTGCCGGGCCATGCAGCACCGCATCGTGGAGCTCATCTCCCGCGTGTCCAACGAGGAAGTCACCGAGGAATTGCTGCATGTCAATGATGACCTCAACAATGTCTTCCTCCGCTATGAGAGGTGGGAGCCAGAGTCCTTTTTGTTTCTTTTTTTCTCTTGAAAAGATTGTTGCCATAACAGAGGGATATCTTTGATAAACAAAGGGGAGAGAGACATACACAGACAGAGAGATTAGAGTTGGAAAATACTCATCAGAGATGCTAATTTGTTCCCCTGGATGACAGAGAAAATGCTTCTTGTTCTCCTGGGAACAAGCAGCAGGAAGTTGACGTGCAGAATTCACTTTGCCCTTTATAAGCCTCAGGCTGCTCTGCCTCCCCGCATGACCTGCCTCAGGGAGGACCAGGACTGGGGGGTCTGGGCCTGGAGTTTCTGCACCTGCTCCTTTGATGATCCTTTGAGTTTGAAAAGGATTAAAGGGGAAAAAAACCTCTGCTAAGAAAAAGGATTTCCTCTTTCCCATCTTGTAAAAAGAAAAAGAGCTTTCTTTTTGTAAATGTCAGCGTGTCTAGAGTGTTCCGGAGAAGCAGGCAGGGTGTAAGTGCCAGATTGCTGCTGCTGCTGCTGCTTAAGGAAACACACGCATTCTTTTCAGTTCTTTCTGCAGCCAAATCACTTTTAGGCTTCAAGTAACAAACTTGAAAATTCCTTTCCTTTTCCAAAGACTTCCTCAGGACAACGTCCAAAACATATTTGGACTGGTTTCAAGTAGGAGGTGCAGTTCTCATCTCTACATCATGATGGATGCACCGTGGGCTCTCCTGAATGAGCCAGTGGAGGACCAGAAAGGACCTCTGTCAGGCCAGCCTTCTCCCATTAAAGATCAGGCTCAAGAAGGCAGAGCAGGGCTGGGGTTGTGGCTCAGTGGTAGAGCGCCTGCCTAGCATGTGTGAGGCACTGGGTTCGATCCCCAGCACCACATAAAAATAGATAAATTATTAAAGTTATGTCCATCTAAAACTAAAAAAATATTTTAAAAATAAAAAATAAATAAATAAAAGAAGCAGGACAGTAGCATGAGTTCCCTGGAGACTTGTTCTGGCCCTTCTGTCAGCTGATCATGGCTTACTATGTGGACTGGTCAGGAGGACAAATGGATCTGGTACCCATTAGGGTCAGGGGAACAAATGTTGCATTTGCATTACCTCTAGGGGCTCAGAGATTGATGTGGTGGTTGTCACTTTCTTGGGTTTCTTCAACTTCTGATGGTGGCAGTAAGGATAGATGTTCCTGTGCCCATCTAAAAGGTGAAGACTCCTCTGCAGTAGGATTGTGTGGCCACCCAACAGACCCCTTGTCTACCAATCAAAGAATAGGAGCAGATCCAAGGCACCCTCACTTTTACCCTGAAACCCCCTTGTCTTGCCATACGGTCTCAGTTTCCCTATGCTAAATGAGCTTGATTCTTTTTTTTTAAGAAATTTGTTCTTTTTTTTGGTTTTTATTTTATTTTATTTTATTTAGTTGTAGATGGACATAATACCTTTTATTTTATTTGTTTATTTTTATGTGGTGCCAGGGATCGCACCCAGTGCCTCACACATGCTAGGCAAGCGCTCTACTACTGGCCACAACCCCAGCCCCGAGCTTGGGTTTTGACCTGTTTGAGTCATTTAAACTCTAGCTAGAATAGAATAACCGGAACTGGTGTGGGCCTTGTCATCTACACCAGTCCCAGTGTTGCAGAGGACTCGGAGGTGCTACCTCAGGCCACTGGCCCTGAGATGCCATCATGGTTAGACTGTAGGTCCCTTGAAGAGAGTGTGGGAAAGATAATACCCCATGATTAAGAGTGTTTCAGATATATTAATATCTCTGTTCTCCTTTTAGAACTCTACTGGAAAAAAAATTTTTTTTAATCTGCAGTCGATACACATGGCCCAGCCAGATCATTCCTCCTGGGAATTCCTTGTCACCAAGTACTGACCTACCAAGTTGGCAGCAAACATGAAGCAGTGCAGCTCCCTAAATCCCAGTTTCTCAAGTCCCATCTATAGAAAGTCTCTGGGCTACCTCTTGGCCTATGGTGTTAGGAGCTTTTAAATATGGTGTTGGACAGGACCTATTGTTCCCCCCACACACATACACACATCCCAGCTGCTCTTGCAGTCCCACCTGGTACGAAGATGACTTGGGTGTGGCAGAAGGGAAATGTTCTGCAGTTGTCCACAGGCAAGCCCCATCTGTGGCCATCTGCTGATGGTGCAGAAGAGACTGGCCCTGGAAGGGCCAGCCCACCCTGCCCTCCTGGCACTCTGGGTGGTTGGCCTAAACCTCCCTACAGCTTCTGGCAAGCCCTTTCACCAGGCCTTGGCTATGGCCCTGTGCCCATGCCTCACTACCTCCTTTCTCCAGAGATGAAGGTGGGGGTAACTGAGCCTCAGGAGCAGGAGTAGAGAGGGGTCTGCAGTTAGGGCCTGGCTCTGTAGATGGGCATGCGGCATGATGCCTCTAGGGAAAGTGGTTGACCCCAGGGGCCAGAATCAGGGAACCTGTGGGAGAGGCAGAGAAGTTCATCCTCCTGGGAGGTAGGAGCTCCACACAGAGGAAGGTGTATATGTGGAGTCTACTCTGCTGTCCCCAAATGGGACTGCCTGGTCCCCTCCCTGGAGCCTCATCCTCTGCTGAGTACCCAGCACTCTTCACAGGACCATGAGCATGGCAGGCCACACAAGGCCCCTCCTTCCTTACTTCTCCTTTCCCTTCCTTGTTAGGTTCCAGCGATACAGGTCGGGCCGATCAGTTCAGAATGCCAGCAATGGAGTAAGTGTGCCTTTAGACGTCCCTGTACTTGTGAGGCTGTCCCCCTCACACAGACCTGTCCCAGTTGGGCCTGGCTTCTAGGTTTTCTAACTGGGAATAAAATGTCTGCTTGATGGCAGATGGAGCAGGGCTGGAAGGCACCCTTGAGGAGAGGGTGGCAAGAAAGCCCACGTCCAGAGCTCCCAGGCAGTCACCATCCTGTGACTCAGTACTGCCTCCTTCTAGTTGGGGAGCAGGGGAGGCCAGTGTGGGGCTCACTGACAGCCTGGGCCCACTGTGATTCTGAAGGTGGGTGAGGGGAGCCCCCTTGCTCCTGTGGTAAAAACACGGGTCCTGGGTTTGTTTGTTTTTTTTTTTTTTTCTTCCCCCAGTACTGGGGATTGAGCCCAGGGGCAGTTTACCGCTAAGCTCCATCCCCAGTGTTTTGTTTTGTTTTAATTTTTTTTTTTTAATTTTTACTTTGAGACAGGGTCTCACCAAGTTGCTTAGGGCCTTGCTACGTTGCTGAGGCTGGCCTTGAACTTGTGATCCTCCTGCCTCAGCTTCCTGTGCCACTGGGTTTACAGGCCTGTACCACTGCATCCAGCTAGGTCCTGGCTTTTACCTTGGCTCTCAGCCCAGGGAATGGAGGCCTCACCGCCAACCTCAATGTCCCAACAGGTGCTGAATGAAGTGACTGAAGATAACTTGATAGACCTGGGCCCTGGCTCTCCTGCTGTGATGAGCCCAGTGGTGGGGAGCACGGCACCCCCATCTTCCCTCTCCTCCCAGCTCGCAGGCTTGGGTGAGTGTTGCACAGCCGTGTAAAGAGGCTGCCTACAGCCATTTGGCCTCCTTTACAAGCTATGTCTTTCTCTGTATTGGAAGGCCAGAAGAGAACCTTTTGAAGAATCCAGAAAGATGTATTTCTGAGTCCTAGCCAAAGTGTACCCCTTTCAATTTATAACTTTTTTTCCTAAATTTGAAGTTTAAACCTGTGTTGGAAAGCAAAGTTGAGGAACGTCTACGCTTCAGCATAACTAGGCCAAGGCTGGCAAATTGGTTTCAGTTCATTGACTGCTTGGAACACAGGTTTAATACTAGAGCCACTTCAGGGCCTAAGAGATGACTGACTGACTGAAGATGTCTGCAATGGGCTGAGAAGTAGGAGGTGGTGGTGGCACTGACACATTTGCTCTCCTTGAGTTATACATTAGATGAAAGTGTTCTGTTTTCTAAAACTTGCTAGAAACTCCCCTCTTTTCCATAGTAAATGTGTGTATATAACTCTAGATGCTTTGTTTATACTAGATGATACCAATTTATAACAAAGTTATAATATTGACATAATTAATAAGCATAACACTCAAAATTCTTCTACCTTGCTTTTCTGTTTTCTTTTATGGGGAATATTTCTCTACCTTCAATTCTTTTCAATTGAATTAAACTTATTTAATGGCCTATCACTTGCAGCAGGTCTAGCGTCTCGATATTTCTGTATCTGTAGCCATTCCAATATTTTCTATATCTGTCTCTATTGTAACAGGTATCTCTGCCTTCAGTCTGTCCAACTATAGGCACCAGATTTAATACCTAACATTCAAAATGGATTCTGCTGCCTCCCTTCTTAAAAAGTGTCCATCATTTCCCCAATCACCCTTTACTGGGCATTTGAGGCTTGTTCTGCCCGTCTCTCACCTGTCCCCCAGCCTCCTCCTCTACCCCTCTTTCCCACAAGTGCAGACACTTCACAAAGTCTCACCTTCTCCTTCTCCCCCTACTGCAGCCCTGCTCATCCTCTAAGACCCACCCTTACGTTGGTTTTGAGTGCCTCTCACTATCTCAAACCAAGCACTTGGGCTTTCTGTCCCTTTCCCATCTACTGGTTGAGCTTCTTGAGGCCAGGACCAAGTCAGGTCCTATTAGGTCCCCTTGAGATCTGGCTTTCGACCTGTGGGGACCTAAGAAATACCTGCCAAATGAGTAACTAGTCCAGATCCCTACTGAATAAATAAGGAGCACTCTGAGAAGGGCGCTAGCTGGGTCACTGCAGTCTCGCCACCAGCAGTCTCCCTGCTGTTCATGACACCTCCTTCCTCCTTGAGCAGCCTGGGTGTAAGTGCAGCCCTCGATCCTCCTGCACATGACTTACTGGCAGTGCTAAGAACAGTCCCATCCCCCCACAAACCCTTCTCCTGGCCCTCTGGCTTTGAGGCCCCCTCAGGTCCATAGTCCACATGCTGTTCTCATCTGCCTCTTGTTTGTTTTGTTGTCATAGACTTGGGGACAGAGAGCGTCAGTGGCACCCTCAGTTCACTCCAGCAGTGTAACCCTCGTGACGGCTTTGACATGTTTGCCCAGACTAGAGGGAACTCCTTGGCAGAGCAACGCAAGACGTACGTGGGGCCCCTTCCAGTGGCTCTCCAAAGATGTCAGGGGGTGAGGGGGAGCTGACCCAGGCCTGATCACAGGCCAACACAAAGAAGCCTTTTGTGTACCAGATTCGAGACTGCCAGGAACTTTAAAATATAGCCGTGGGGACTTGGCATTCACCGCAGATACTGGTGAATGCCAGCACCCCCCACTCTCTCCGGCCCTTGGGGTTGACTGTAGTGTCATTTCTCCTGTCAGTCACAGAAGTCTACTCTTCTTTCTTGCAGACACCATCTCCCCCAGCTGTCTCAAGGGAAGCCTGGACACAGGAGGGGACAGCCAGGCCGGGACCAAAACGGTTCCTAGCAGGGAGATTTAACTGCCTAAAAAAAGCCATCAGGGCAGAGTCTTCTCCGACAGCAGCTCTGGCAAGAATGAGCCATATGGAATTGGGGGAGTTGGTTCCAAAATAGACAACCCCCTGCATCTCAGGGAGGCAGGGAACATGCTTTGAGCCTTCTTTTTAGCTTAAAGGCAGACTGCTGCTTATAAAATAAGAGCTAATATTGCTTTGTCTCTACCTAGCCCCTCCTGAGGAGTTTTAGAGCACTCTGACATCCTGCCACTAAGCTTCAGAGAGGCCCCAGTGTTATTCAGGAGAAGGATGTTGAAATGCACAGTCTTCCAGGTCCCAGAGGAGTTTATGAGCTGGAGCTAAGCTTGCTCACTCCAGCTGCAGGGAGTCGGACATGAACCCTCAACCTCTGCTCAAAGCCAGGGTCACACCTGAGGAAGGTGCTGTGGGATGGAAAGTGATTGAAGATCACCGCCCTGCCTCCACAACTCCTGGGGGAACTCACTGTGCTTGTGCTACTTCATCCCCAGGGTCACCTATGAGGATCCCCAGGCTGTCGGAGGACTCGCTTCTGCACTAGACAGTCGGAAACAGAGCTCAGAAGTGGTAGGTCTTCAACTCTGTTTTTCTGTCCAGCCTTCTAGAGGGAAAGTTGACATTTTGGTAAAGCTGGATGATCAATTCAGCAGAAATTGGCTTGTGTAAATAGCAGGGACGCACTGGGGGAGAGACCCAAGGAACCTGTGTGCCACCAGGCAGTGCCTCATTAGTGTTTCCTCGCCCTGTGAAGTGACGCTCCCATTATACTCATGATACTGAAGAGGAAACAGGCCCAGGGAGGTGGGAGATGAGCCAAAGGACACCCAGAGTGCGGGCTGCACATAGCCATCCCCATCCTAGGAATGTCCGACTCCAGAGCCTGTTCCTTCTACTGAGGTGACCCAAGTGCTTGGAGTACAGGCCTCTCCCTTCGTGTTATGGTTCCTGGGGTGGGAGATGTGCTGCCAAAATAACGGCCCTTTTGTGGAAGGTAAATACTAATCTAGGCCACCCCTCTGGTGACCACTGGTAGCTACCCTGGACAAGCAGTGCTAGCATTTGAGGTTCAGGAATTAAATGGAGAACTAGAGGGTCAGGAATGTTTGGGAGGGTTTCCAGGAAAGCTCTGGGTTTGGGAGGAGCAGAGCCGGAGACAGAGGAGGCACTTTGAAGTGCAGCATAACATTTGCATGAGCCCTGTAAGATTTCAGATTACTGAAGGGGAAAGGATTTATGTCTAATGCTTCTCCAGAGATTTTTCTCTTTTGAGCCTGGCTAAGAAATGTGTGTGAATGCATGCCATTTACAGGGAGAGGAAGGAGGAGGGCTCTTGGGACATCTGCCTATAACAGCTGGAACTCCTGTCAGGGTCCCCAGCTGGGCTAAAAGGGGGCAGTGCCCACCCATCCACTGGACAGCAAGGTTTGCAAAAGGCTCTTTGCTTCTCAAGTGCCAGTTCTTAGCCTCCTGCAACCGCTGTCCAAATGGGCCCAGTCAGGCAGCATGGCAGCTGCCTGGCATCTATATTTGTCCCTTAGGGGAAGGGATTCCTCCCAGCTGGCCCAGCCAACTTTATCTGAAGACATGTGTCCCTCTGCACTGGCCACAAGGGGGCGAAGAAGAGCCAGCTGGCTGCCTCAGATTCTCAACACCCTTCCCTCTCACAGAAGCCACCCAACCCTTAAGATACCCCCAATCCATGCAGTGGTGGTGGTTCTTTCTCAGTTCCCCTCACATCCTCCTAACCTAATCCAGGCAGGGCACTAGAAAACCAGGCTGGAGGCCTTTTGTCATCCTTCCTGGGTGGGGGGCGGGGGGGTGCCTCCCTGTCTGACCATGCCTGTTTCCTCAGCTCTAGTTCCAGGGCCTGCCCAGTCCATGGCAGCAAGCGTCCTGCACACCCCTGCTTTTAGCAATTCCCTGGGCCTGAGTCTGAGTCCAGAAGATGGGGGTGACTCCCCACCCTCTTGCCCTTCACCCTCTGGGTGTGCGGGGCTTGGACCGACTCCCTGTTTTCAAAGGTCTTGATGACTCACGCCTTTTCCACGTGGTGGTAGGCAGACTGCTTTTCATGCTTACTGCTCACTGGGGCAAGGCTCAGCCTCAGTGACAGGGCAGCAGGGCACATGTTGGCACTGTGTGTTCACACACATCACCGCAGGCTACCTTGTCCCATCCTAGGCCATGTTGTCTTAGAAATAAAAACTGGGCCAAGGGAGAAATGCAGAACACAATGAAGATGGGAAGAATGTTGTGCAGCCATGCCACCATAAGTAAGACCTCATCATTCAGTGTCTCCCTTTAAATGTTTTTATCATTTAAAAAAGGCAGTAGGGCTCACAGGGATTTTCCAAGTGCCCAGGAGTAGTTGGCATGAGTATTTGTAATCCTGTTGGGATTCATGGCTACTAAACTTTTCTTTTCTCTTCCAGGCAGGTAAGAGGGACATGCCAGAGATGGGGATTGGGGGTATCAGGTCATATTTCCTTATATGACAATCAAATCTGAGCAGTGACTTTCCTGTTTCCATAATATGTACTGTGACTTCTTTATCTGACTTCTTTATCATGGGGCTTGCCATGACTTTTCTTTCTGGGACTTTTCTGTCCTCGGCCCAGCAGAGAGGGAAAGGTGGGGACTCTGACCTGGAGCCCATAGACAGCTGGCTCATGACCCAAGGAATGGTGAGGAGCCACAACTGAGCCGAGTCCGCTGTCCACCCCAGCCCTTTACCTGTGTAACAGTCAATGCCTTCCTCTTGCCACCTGCAGGCCCCTTGTGATCCAACAGGACAGGGCCATGCTCGCTCCTTCAGACGGGGGTGCCAAATTTCCCCTCCTGTCTTTGTCTAATCTCCTTAGACCACAGACCTCCAGTCCCAGAAGTACCTTCTCTGGTTCTCTGCTGAGGCCCATGTCCCTGGGCCTTCTGGGTCTGTGACAGTAGCAGGAGTGAGGGGAGGGCTTTTCCTTCCTTTGTCTCTGGAGCTCTTGGCAGTATTCATTTTTCCAAGATGAGCACAAGTCACCGTGGACTTTGCTTAGGAGGAGCTGGTTCTGAAGGAGCAGACCTGATGCATCTGGCCCTTCAGAGAAGGCCCTGCTAGAGTCTAGCGCCTGGAAATCTGGCAGGCCTAGATTCGGTGGACTTGTATGATATAGTTATTTACGTCCTCCAAGTTTCCCCAAAGAACTTGAGACCTCACACAGAAATGCACCCAGTGGAACAGAGTGAAAAGAAAATAACGTTATGGGGAGCTTAATATAAAAACAGTTAGGCTGGGTACAGTGGCACATGCCTGTAATCTCAGCAACTCAGGAGGCTGAGGCAGGAGGATAATAAGTTCAACGCCAGCCTCAGCATCTTAGTGAGGCTCATCTCTAAATAAAAAATGAAAAGTGCTGGGGATGAAGCTCAGGGGTAGAGTGCCCCTGAGTTCAATCTCCAGTACAAAAAATAAATAAACACCGTTCTCATGTAGTAGAGCTTTTCTGGGGCATGGAGAGAGGGTGACCTCATTTCAGGCCACTTGCCTCAGTGTGACCATTTCACTTCCAATATAGTGGCTAAAGCTGGGTCCATGTGGTGGGGCCAGAGGAGAGAAGGTAGAGAAGGAAAGCTGGTTGGCGTGGGGAAGGTGCATGGCCACCCTGTGCAACAGGCCAGCCTTTCACCAGGGGAGGGGCCCAGACAGGATCAGCAGGTTCCAGATTGCAGGCAGCGTGGAATATCTGCCTGAGCATAGACTTGGGCCAGGCAGGAGGCCACAAAGAGCCATGGGTGTGAGCTTGGGCTGTGATGTGTGCACAGCCACCATCCACTCCTTCCCTGAGTGAGTAGGCAATTCCTGCATCAACCTCCAAGGCCATTCCTAGAGATGGGCTGGTCTGGCCTCATTTGCTTCTTTAGGGACAGGCTGAGCTCTGGGTCACATGGGGGCCCAGGCTTCCTAGAAGACCATATCTATTCCATTGTCCAAATTGGGAAGATCGAGCTCATGTGCCCTTGTGCCTACTAATCCTGCAAAAAAGGATACTGCCCTCCCAAACTACCCTGACTATGTCCTTGGCAGCTGGCCGTGGTGCCTGCCTCTGCCCTGTCCCCATATAGAGCTCCAGTTTCTGACTTCCCAGAAGCAAACCCAACTAACAGCTAACCTGGTGTCTTACCTGCCTGCCTGCAGTTATTTTTTTCCCTTTAAAACAATGTATATTAATTGCTTTGCCTTATTCCACATAGTGTAGAAACTCTGAGTCTTTCCAAACCTTCTAAGTACAAATTCTTTACATGGAAACTTTTTGTACTATTGAGTTTGACTCGAGGCTTTTCTGACTATTCCTCCCATTCCTTTTGGTTGCAGTGTTGTGGGGAGAGTCTCACAGCTCCTCTGGAAGTAGCACACCTGAGCTGCAGACTTGCTCCTGTTGCATTGAAAGTTGGGTGGGTAGGTCTCTTTGTGGTCTTGGGACTATGAGAAGCTGCAAAGGAGAGCCTCACCAGGGCCTCTCTCTCCTGGGACTTCAGGTGTAGGGATTTCCAACAAAAAAGTTAGTTAACCATGCCAGATTCATTGCCAGTTGAAAAGAAATGAGCTCTGGCATGAGCCAGGGCTCCCTCCCCTTTCCCCTGCCCCTGGGTCCTTGCATCTTTCTGCTTTGCCTGGCTGGTGATCAGCTAGGGATGTCTCCCATTTGCAGCTTGTAGCCAGGAAGATGCCCTGGTGTGAATAAATATAAGTCAGAGCAAGTCCAGAAGCAGGTTAGTTAAAAAGAGACTGCTGTTGCAGAAGCCTACCTTGGGATTGGAGCCCTCAAGGCTCCTCCCACTCAGGACAGATGATCAGTAGCCCTGGGAGACCCCCAGATACAGCACACCAGAGGTTACAGAGTGCTGACTGTAGCTAAGCAGTTGGGAACACCTCTCCTCCTTCTCTGACTCCTAAAGAAGAGCTGCCTCTTCCTTCAGCTCCAGATGAGAGTTAGCCCACACAGGACAGCCCGTCCACTGTTCAGATTCAAACCTCCTGCCCTGGCACCCCAGATGCCTTTTCTCTTCAGACTCTGAAGACTGGCAGGACTGGCATAAGCAGTGCCTTGGCCCTGCCAGCCCAGCCTGCCAGTCCTCACAGGGGTTAGCTTAACAAAGGTCTTGGTCTCTGTGGGAGGATGTCCTGGGGTAGCTCCTTTGGTTTTTTTTTTTTTTTCTTTTTCTTTTCTGTGTAGTCTTTCCTTCCTCTCTGTCTCCCTTGTTTAGTGCACGCTCTTCTTCAGACCCCTTGGATCAGACCAAGAAGATGCTAAAACCATGGCCTTTTAAGAGCTAACAGTCTTCTTAGGGACCTCCTGGGCCAGCCCCCCATTTGACAGATGGTGAGGCCTCCCAGGGACCTGGTGACATGAGTGAAGCCACAGGGCAGAGACACAGAATCCCCTAAGACTTGGTGCAGTGCTTCTTCCCTCGTCATACCCCCGCCACACACACACACCAGCCTTATGTCGGCAGCTTCCTCTCCCTGTCAACCTCTGGAGTTCATATTTTCTTGACAGTATACTGTTTAGTCTGGGGGCGATAGCACCTACAGGACCTTGGCCCTGTTGGAGTACTGGAGCTGCTTAGTTTAGATAGCTAATGTTTTGCTTCCAAACACAAAGTCAACCCCTGCCTTACATTAAGTAATCTCACTGATAAACAACACCTGGCCCCTCGGTGCTTCATGCTCTGAGGCCCAGTGCCTTTCACTGTACAGTCATTCCTGATAATCCAACCTCCCTGGATGTCTGAATTAGAAAATAAAAGGCCAATCTGGAATGTAGGAGTTCCCGAGTCATGAGTGTTGAAAACCAAGTACCACCTGGCAGTCACCCTATTTCTCAGGTGAAGCAGCTGAGGCCATGCTTTGCCCAAGCCCTTACTTTGACCTCCCCACCCAAACTTCTGAGTCTTCTTAGGACAGAATAAGCCAGGTATGGTGGCACATGCATGTAATCCCAGCAACTCTATAGGTTGAGGTAGGAGGATCGCAAATTCAAGGCCAGCCTCAGCAACTTAGTGAGACCCTAAGCAGCTTAGGGAGACCCTGTCTCAAAAACTAAAAAGGGCTAGAGTTGTGGCTCAGTGGTTAAGTGCCCCTGGTTCCATACCTGGTACAAAAAGAAAAAAAGAAAAGGCTGAAGAAACAGGTCCAAAGAGACTCCCCCGACCAGATACCAGAAAGGTCTGCAGCCCAGCTGGGAGCCCAGCCCTACCTGCTGCCCACACTTTCCTGCTCAGGCTCCTAGGATTTGGTCTGGAGGCCACCATTCTATAGACACACATCTGACTCCCTCAGACATATCTAGAAAAGGAAACAGCAGGATCCCCATGATCCAGCTTGTGAGGAATTTTTTTTTAAGGGATGAGGAATTTCTCAGATGTCAGCATTTATTTTCTGAGTGTACTGGCTCTCAAAATTAATCCTCAAAGAAAATTGTAACATGACCCAAAGCTCAATGGATTTATTTTTACTGGTCTAGGAATAGAACCCAGGGCCTCACGTGTGCGGAGACAGGTGTTGTACCACTGAGCTACACCCCCTGCTCTCTATGTTTTACTAGTAGTAACAACAATAACAACAAAAACAACAAAAACTATAAGAAAAAATATTTTAGGCCAATGACTTTTTTTTTTTTTTTTTGGCAGTGCTAAGAATTGAACCCAGGGGTACTCTACCACTGTACTATGTCCCCAGCCCTTTTTATTTCTTATTTTGAGACAGGTTCTTGCTGAATTGCCCAGGCTGGCCTCAAACTTGAGATCCTCCTACCTCAGCCTCCTGAGTTGCTGGGATTATAGACAAGTGCCACTATACCCAGCTAGGCCCATGACTCTAAATGGCTTTTTCCAAGCTTTGGCAAAATATTGAAAAGTTTCAGTGGTAGAATGTTTGCCTAGCTTTAGGTATGAGGCCCTGGGTTCCATTCTCAGCACAAGGAAGGAAGAAAATGAAAAAAAGCTCAGTCCATGAAGCCTCAGTTTCTTCTAGGTGGATTGAGGCTAGATACATATATAAAAGTGCCCGTGTGTGCTCTGGTAGCTGTTGTAGGTTGATTTTCTCTTTGGGGAAGCTGCTGACTTTACTGGGGACTTGGCATGGCATGTGTCCTCCCCGAGCCAGATATTCTGACTTACAGGCATCCAGATCATGAAAATTTGGCATCTCCTGTTCCAGGAACATATCAAGGCAGAAGGCCTACCAGCCAGCGTCACATTGCAGGTGGCACCTGCTGGGCCCTGCTGCTCTTTGATGGGGAAGGTGGGTGCCCACCTTAGGCATTCATGCCCCCACCCCAAGTGAGTAATCACATGTTTTCTGTCCCTAGGATTCATGTCAGGGTGGTAAGAATGCTCTGGAATTTTTTCAGTTCAACAATCTGAAGTCCCCAAGTAAGTCTAAGGACCAACATGGCAACATAGAGAGAAACTCCCTACTGTGGTCAGAGGTTAGCTCTTGCCTTTCTGAAGATGCTCATGGGGTCAGCCAGGCTCACTGGGGGAGGGAGTGAAGCACTCCCATGACATTGCAGACACCTGCTCAGTATGTACCCAGCTCCCCAAAAGGCAACAGGTATCAGCCTCTGGGACTGGAATTGTCACATCAGAGCTAGTGATACAAGTTCTTTATTCTTTTCCTTTGCTATGTTAGTTTTTAGACTTGGTTAATGCTGAAGCAGTCCTCCTATTGCTTATTTTAACTTTATTCTAACTCTGGATCATGACATTGGGGTGTAGCCAGCTGTAGACATAGTGCTGATGTTTTTTTTCTAAAAAGAGTGAGCTGGCAAATGAGCCCCCTGGAGAGTACTGCCCAGGCCCAGGGAGATAAGGAGGCAGGTTACCCTGATTAAGGGTCATCACCCCACTTGTCTAGGCTGGGAGCCAATGTTTATGAACGTGGCTTCTAGGGGGTTAAAGGTTACCTTCTTCTTATCACATCATACCTGACAACAACTTTAATATTTTTAGCCACACATATTTTTCAGAATCTGCCCTTAGTGCCCTTGGCCTGGGTGGCCCAGGCCTACTGACTGCTCGGGCACCTGTGAGGTTTCTTGGGGAGCTCTGTCACCTCCCTGGCACCCTGGCTGCTCTGCTCCCCAGTCCTCAGCAAGCTTCTTTTCATTGACTACTGAAGCACAGACAGCCATTGAAAGCTATGAAGAAAGGATGAGACTAAAGGAAGCTGTTGAGTTCAGGGCTGCTATGTGATTTCTTTTCCCCATAAAGAGACACAAAGAAGACTAAAGCTCCATGGTCCCTTTTGTCATCAAAGCTCTGGCTTGGACTGTATTTCTGTTGGTTGCAAAGCATGCTTACTTCTGTCAACCAGGCCGCATCTAGGCTGACGGAGCACACGCCCCCCTGCTCTCCCTTTCCACTCAGGAATGCACCCAGATGCATTCGGCAACACATTTCACGGCGTAGATGGCACCCCAGGTGTCTCCTGGGACAGAACTGCCCTGCCCTGCGTCCTGCTCCAGTCAGGCTGCCACACACCTCCCTGTGGCATCAGGAACCCACTCCTGGCTCCACAAGTCACTCCCTGGATCAGGCTTGACGGAGAGCAGTCATTTCTCCTGCAGTTACAGCCAGTTAGTTCAGAATCAACCTGCAGCACCAGCGCGTTCCTGAGATCACAAGGTGCTCTGCATTCCAAGTCCAAGAGCCCCTACCACTGAAGGGCACACACCCGTAGTCAAAAAGTTATCCATTTCAAGAACGCGTACTGCCACCTTCCCTGCCGCTGGCCCCTGCCAGTCAGCCCTGCTTCTTATAATTTGCCACCTCATTGCTTTCCTCACCTGCCATTTCATATGTGGCTGCCCTGTGCTGCCCGTGCGTGCCATGCCAGTTGTGTTTTTTTTTTCCTCGTGTATGTTTTGGTTTTGTTTGGGGTTGCTTTGACGATTTACTTTGTTCCGGTGTTCTGTCTTCTCTCGCCTGGCTGTGTGGGGCTGCCTGCCCCGCTGCTTGCCGCCTCCATAGATCCCCGTTGCGCAGCCCTCTGTTATGGACGACATTGAGGTGTGGCTCAGGACGGACCTGGTGAGACTCGACTTTTTATTTTGTGTGTGGGGTGTGGCCAGACAGAGGCTCTTCTGAGGACAGGCCTCAGGGGCTGCGCCACCATCAGGGTGGGTGGAGGAGGGAGGTCAGGGTACACGGGGTGCTGTAGCCCCCACTCATCTCAGCTTAGCTTGCTCTCCAACATAACCTAGGCCAGGGTGGCACCTACAGCCAGCACCAGGCCTGGGCAGCCGCCGCGATAGGTAGCAGCTCAGGGCACAGTCCTGCAGTGTGAACAGGTTCCCAGCTGGCACACTACCCCGACATGAGAACAGCCGGCTCCTGGCAGGCACTTGTCTCCTCCCCAGTTTTTTTTTCAATTTCGAAAATGTGTGCATGCTGAGGGGAGTTTTTGTTTTTGTTTTTGTTTTTTTAACACTTTTTAGTCGTAGGTGGACACAATATCTTTATTTCATATATTTTTATGTGGTGCTGAGGATTGAACCCAGTGCCTCACACATGCTAGGCAAGCACTCCACCCCTGAACCCCAACCCCAGCCCTGAGGGGAGTTTTGAGGGAGTATTTTTTGTTTTGTTTTGGGGATTTTCCTTTTTATTATTATTTTTCATTATTATTTTTATTTTGGCAGTATTGGGTTGGGATTCGTGGCCTTGTACATGCTAAACATACATTGTATCTCTAAGCTATGCCCCAGCCCTCATTTCTTTTTCTTTTTTTTTTTTTTTTTTTTTTTTTGTGTGTGTGTGGTGCTGGGGATTGAACCCAGGGCCTTGGGCATGCAAGGCAAGCCATCTACCCACTGAGCTATATCCCCAGCCCTTTTTAATTTTTTTTCTTAAATTATGAAATATGCACACAGATGAATAGGGTCGTTTTAAAATGACAATCATCCCCCTTCCAGATATCTTCTAGAATTTTGGATTTAAAAGAACCCCTCCCCCAATTAGGGCTGCAGCTGTAGCTCAGGGGTAGAACACTGGCCTAGCACATGTGAGGCACTGGATTCAATCCTCAGCACCACATTAAAATAAATAAAATAAAGGTACTGTGTCCACCTACAGCTAAAAATATAAATAAATAAATAAATAAATGACAAGAACCCCTCCCCCAAAAGCCATTGTCTCCAACCTATGAAACAGAGTGAGAAGCTGAGGTTGTTGTGAATCTGAAAGTGGTAACAGATCCCTCCCTTTGTTCCCTACAAAGCTCTTTCCTCCTCAGCAGCCCTGGGAAGTGCCTTTCCCAGGGTCATGGGCTGGCAGGACTCTGGTAGACCTGGAGACCTTATCTCTTCCTCCTGGCTGTCTCCTTGTTGGGGGATCTTCTCCCCAGAGCAGCATAACCCCTTCGCTGCTTTAATCTCAGGGTCAGCCTGGTGGCCGTGGCTGATGACTCAGCCACCTCCTACAGGAGGACAGCAGGCCTCAGATTGAGGTTCTCACTGCTTCCTCCCTGGGAGGCCAGGCTTTCCAAGACACTGCCAAGGGAGGCAGCCACCCAGGCCAGGGGAGGAAGAAGAGGCCCCACAACATCTTTCTGAAGGGGATGCCTGGGAAAGAAATACCTTCCCTCACAGAAACAAAGAAGGAAGGGCTAAGGCCCTTACAAGGGGGACCCCCAGGTCCAGAGAGGGGAAGGGACCTGTCCAGCAAGGCTACAGAACAGGTCAGTGGCAGGAATGGGAAAGGACCCAGGCCTCCTAACCCAGGGTAGGGTTCTCACTCTTCATTGGCCTCCTTCCTGATGAGGCCCTAGCATGTGCAGTGTTCTCCAGACACAATCAAGTGTGATGTGCTTCCGTTTTCATGTGTGCACAGCCTCCACGGCCCCTTCAGAGCCAGCAGCTGGGATGGGACCTGGGCCGTGGGGAGAGGGTTGTGCAATCCCCAGGAGGTTTCAGGACACTTTGCAGGGGATAGCCTCCACGGCCACAGCACCTCCTGAGTGCCAGGCCGGGGGCTATCCAGGCTCTGTGCAGCTTCCAGCTGTTGGTATGGACAGGGCCTTCCTAGAACCCCTGCACTGGCAGCGGGTACCCTGTGTAGAGGGGCACATATGGGGACTCCAGTGCACCTCCTGCTCAGTCTCCTGTGGCCACCCCTGTCTCTCCCCAGAGCCTAAAGGATGTCAGTGGGTGGGGCCTGCCCTTCTTGTCCCAGGCCAGGACCCATCCTGCACCAGTTTTGGATTTTTCTTTCTGGCCCTTCTGGAAAATCAAAACCTACAATTTATTTAACTTTTTGGTTTTGCATTTTTTTTTTTAATGCTTCTTCAGAAAGAGCAGTATTTTGCTATTATAGAAATCTGGAAACAGGGAAATCAGAAAGTTTCCCTTGGGCTGCCCTGGGCAGTACTCTCCTGGGTTTGGCTACAGGTGGGCAGAGGTGGCTGGGCAGTCAAAGTGGGGACCACCAAGCCCTAATGCTGCTCTCTCTGCTCTTCCCACAGAAGGGCGATGACCTGGAAGAGGGAGTCACAAGTGAAGGTAGGCCCAGCCAGTGGCCTTGCAACCCCCTATCCTCTGTTGTTCCTGCCCCAGGCTCTGGCACAATCACCATGAGCCTCTGTTGTCAGAGTCCCTGTGCGTGCCAGGCCCTGAGCCACTGCCTGCATGGGGGCTTGGTCCAGTCCAGTCTCATGCAGATGCAGAGAGTGTCATTTTCCCCATCTTTAAGGGAAACAGAGATCAGGAAGAACATGACTTTCAGAAGGTCACAGGGCTGGTGAACAGTGGGCACAACCCTCCTGGGGCACAACCCAGTCCATGCCCCTCTTGCCCCTGCTCCTGTGGTCAGATGGCCCAGGCAGAGCACCTCAAAGACCTGCCCTCTGTGCTGGGTGACCCCCTTCCCTAGTGGCTCTTTAGCCCCTTCCTGTTTCTGGTGAGGTAGGGCAGGTGTTCTCTGCCAAGTCTAAGGAGGAGTTTACTGATTCTGCCTGCCCTGCCCCCAGTGCCGATGGAGGTGAGGATTAGGAGGGTAGGTGCTCTGCGCTGTTTTCCAGCTCACAGGCCTTCAGGGAGTCCTCTCCCCATCTTTCCCCACAGTGCAATGCATGTAGCCCTTCCCACCCCTACTTGTCTTACAGAAGGCAGAGGGGGAAACAGGTAAGGGAGTGGGGAGGATCCCTGGGGCTGGTCCCTAGAAGCACCCATGCTCTGGCTGTTCCTCCTACTGTCCCCCTTCCCTCCCAGCTGGTGGCCCCACAGTGTCGTGCAGGCTGAAGCTGGGAGGCATTGGGGTGCAGGTGGGGAGACACCTACAGGGAGAAGTGGAATGAACTCTAGGGAACAGGTGGGCTATACCCTCCACCAACCCAGGCCCTTGCCTTGGTTTGTATTACAGAATTTGATAAGTTCCTGGAAGAAAGAGCCAAAGCTGCTGAGATGGTTCCTGACCTCCCCTCACCCCCCGTGGAGGCCCCCACCCCAGCCTCAAACCCTTCTGGCCGGAAGAAGCCAGAGCGGTCAGAGGATGCCCTCTTCGCCCTGTGAGCTGTTCTGCAGTTTGCCTCCACCATGGCAGGTTACCGCTTGCTCCCCCAGTGGACCCTGGGCACTGGCCACTCCTCCCCACCCCTGACCCGCTCCTTTGCACACCCGTGTCTCCATGGAAACACCACTGTTTGTTCCCAGGCATCCCCTAGTCAGGGCCAGCTTTCACCACTCTTTCTCCAAGTGGTGGGACAGAGGCTGCAGTGAGGCCCTGCTCCCCGCCTACCAGGCTTCCCTAACTGGCTGTGTGTTCTCCCAGGAAGAGCCAGTGGCCTGGCCCCAGTGGGGGAAGCCCCCATGACACTGTTCCTGAGCAGATCCCATGGACTGTCTCCCCATCACCTGCCCATGGAGAAGAGGGTCAGGCTTCCGCCTGCCACATGTGCCCTGCCTCTGCATGGCCCGGTGGCTTCCCTCAGGCATGCTGCCCCCTCTTCCAGAAAGGGCTTTGTGCCACTGCTTCTGGAAGAGCAGGGCTCAGTTGGTTGTACTTACAGGCTCAGTCTCTGTCCTTTGACTGTATGTCACCTTGTGGCACCTTGGCACTTTAGAGCAGGTCTATGGGGCACCCACATGTGGCTTTCATGCCCTTGACCCTCTCTCCATCAATCACCTGTTGGCCCAGGCCTTGTGCCCCAGCTGGCTGAGCAGCTGAGCTTGGCTCTAACTGGCCCCAGAAGGACCTGTGGCTCAAAGTCAGGAGGGCAACATGCAACCTGTACAAATGGCCATGTGGCACGCTGATCAGGTAGCATTACCATAAACCAGACCCCCACTCCGCATATCCTGCACACTCACACCCACATACTTTGGCTCCGGGGTGTGCAGGAGGCTCTTGTAGGAGGCACTGCTCTGACTGCTTGGAAGTTACGTGGGTTTTCTACACTCCATGCTTGGGGCTCTGGCCTGGCCTGTAGTGACCTCCACACCCTCCCTCCAGAGCCATCAGCAGACAGCACTGCACAGTGCCTGGAGGTTCCACATGACCCAGTGGCCAGAATAACATGAAGGTCCCTGGCATGGGCCTCGGCCTCCTCCCCAAGCTGTCCTGACAGGCTGACTTCCTCCCACTGCACATGTCCCCCCGGCCACTAATTTGCAGTCTCTCCCAAACAGACCTTGAAAGCTGACAGCCTGGGGCTAAGCAAATGGGGGCTGGTGACACCTGCTCCTGTCCTGTGCCCTTGCTGGTGTGTCCCTTGGCCATGAACTCACAGCACTACCCAAGCCCTGGTCCCGCTGACAACCTTTCCTTCCCATCTGACAGGATGGCCCAGAGGATGCACCTATCACCGCCAGAGCACCAGCCCCAGCAGGGAAAGGAGGCCAGCTGCACAGGCACAGGGACAGTGACCAGGCTCTGGGAAGCATTTAGGGCCAGGTCTGCAGTAAGGGCCCTGCTGAGTACTAGCAGGAATAGCCCCACCCCAGAACCCCATGCTCAGCCTAGTTCTGTGGAGACACCCAGGAAGCCCCTCCTCAGAGCTCCCAGCCCTCTCCTCCTTGGAGCCCATGTCCCTCTTCTACTCTCTGCTCCCTGGCCATCGGTCAGCACACGCCCCTCGCAGCACCTCTCAAGGGCAGAGCTCCTGAGGCCTGCTTATGTATAAAACTTCAAAAGGAGGCTGGCTTGGGTCAAGCTAAAGAGAAGGTAACTGGGGTGGCCCAGAGGTCTCAGCTCTTTGGAACAGTCTGGGGGTCAGAGCCCACCTTGGCCAGCCTGCCGGAGCCACAGGTGATGGCAGCCAGGTCCAGCAGCCTCCTACCTTGAGGAGGGTGTAGAGAGAAAGAGGGAGCTCTTTTTGAAGTGAGTGAGGCTAAGATAGATGCCATCCTGGGGTCCCCAGCAAAGTCCTATGTCCAAAGCTGTCCCCCAAATCCAGCTCCAGCTGGTTGGTACAGGTTGGAGAGGTTTGGCAGCCCTGTGGCAGCAGCTGGTGAAGGACCCCTGTGGGCCAGCAGGAGTCCTCTATCCTGCAGACAAAGGTCCCCTGCCTTTGTGGCCTGGAGCTGGTGACTCAGAGATCTCCCGCTCCTGCATCCTGTCAGGAGGCAGCCTGTCCCTCCTGTAAGCAGAGGGGACACAGGCCTGAGGCCTGCCCTGGGAGCGTGTACAGGCGGGTGCCCTGAAGGACGCACTGCTCAGCTCTTGCAGGGGTGTTATCTGAGACCTCTGGCTCCCACTTACCCTGCCATCTGGGGAGCACAGTCCTGAGGCCACCTGCTTAGGGCAGGGAGCAGAGCCCTGGTGGGAACGCTGGACCCTAGCAAGCCACCAGCCTCCAGAAGTGTTAGAAATCACAGATACAGTATGTACTTAATTACACTAAATTATTGCTGGGATTCCTCATAAGCACTAATTATACCTGATTATAGGTTAAAATATTTATTTTGTCAAAATATTTTCTTGGGGATGTGTTTAACCTTTTTTTGTGCTTATTGTGTGCTGAGATGTGAAGACTAACTGTTTCCTCCTGCCTACCTTTTTGGCCAGCGGGCAACAGTAAATGGCACTATATGCAGTTTGACCCCCATGTGGCAGGCTCTGGCCTGCCTGCTGCAGAGTGGTCCCTGCCCAGGCACACAGCAGCTGGACTGTGGCCAGACTGAGAATGACCAACTTGTTTATCAATAGTCGTGGGACACGGGGTTTCAGAAGTGAAAGGGCTTGTTGTCAGCCCAGGCCAGAGGGAAAAATGATTGTCTATGTCTGTCCTCCCGTCTGTCTGTCAGCCCCTCTGTGAGTGACCGTGCCTTGGCTCACTGTCCTTCCCTCTCTCCCACCCAGTGGTCCTGGGGCCTGTGCTGTTACTGCAGCCCCTTAGGAGGTGAGAATTGGGCACCCCGTAGTGTTCTCAGCTCAGAGTGATGGCCAGGGCTCTGCAGGCCCGGCTGTAGTGCTCCTGTCCCTCCTCCCTTCCTGCCTTCCTCCATACCCCACTCCTGTCCCTCCTCCCTGTCACTGCAAATGCCCCTCCAACTGGAGCCCAGGGTGGTTCTGGATGGTTCAGGGTGGGCCATGGGCCTCCTAGGAGCCAGATCAACCCCCTGGCAGCTGGGGAAGAGCCCCAGGGAGAAGTGCTTACTCTTAGCCTCTTGCACTACCAGATGGGGCCTGCGAGACTCCATGGTCTGTTGTCAGCCTGCTGATGAGATATCTGGGCTTCTCCTCCTGCTCAGCCACACAGGGAAACAGCCACTCTCCCTCACCCAAGGAATGTTCCCACCCCAAAGATGCTCGGGCCCTGTAGTACCTGCCTTTCCCAGGCCCGTCTCCAGCCCTGCTGTCCATGGGGATCCAGGCCAGGCTCCCCTGTGGCCACCAGACTCCGGAGCAGCTGTCAACCGCTGCATCATGACTGATTTTGTCACAGTGTCCCAAATCTCCAGGTTCTCCTGGAGAATGGGGGATGGATCTTTATTTCCTGAAGTTTGCACTTAATTTGTGACTGTTCCAGAAGAGGAATGTGTTGAGTCCTTTGTCCCCTCGTTCCAGAAGTCTGGTGTTCTTGTCACTGTCCTGTGTTTCTGTGGGCAGAGCTGGTTCTGGAGGGTGGGTCAGTGATCGAATGTCTCAGAGGGACACTGGAGCATCCACCTGCCCCACTGGCTCTCCTTCCAGATACCATCTCTCTAGTTTGGGTTCTTGCATGTAAAGTAATCCACAATAAATAAATACTTGAACAAACTGTTCCTGGGTGGCCTCTGTGGCGTTTGCTCTGACTGTCTGGGGGGCCTGCCAGGTCAGACCACCTGCCTTTCATCAGAGGCTGCCACAGGGCTGTGCTGGGGGAGCAGCCAGGAATGCCCTGTCCCTCTTCCCTGCTGCCCAGCTGCTGGGCCACGAAAATCCCTAAGCACTAAGCACAGATAGCCACTGATGGTAGCAGCCACAAAGCCGTCACAGCCTGCCTGAGAACTCTAGGGCCAGGTGCTATAGGTCTTCCTGTGTCTTACCCCAGGTCCCAGAGTTGCACAGGGAGGCCAGTCACCCCTGCCCAGAGCAAGCAGGCTGGAGGCACACCCTGAGCCCACCTCAGCTGGGCTCCGCTTTTGGTCAGGTATCAGAATCTTCGGCAGAGCCTATGCCCAGCACTGAATTGAAGAGCCACTGCTCCAGGGCAGACAGATCTTTCTTCCCCTCACCTCTTTTTTTTTTTTTTAAATAACAGCTTTATTGAGATAAAACTGACATCACCAGCTAAGTGCACTGTTTACTTGGGAGATACTTGGGAGGCTGAGGCAGGAGGATCACAAGTTTGAGACTAGCCTCTGCAACTGAGCAAGACCATCTTTTGAAATATAAAAATAAATAAATAAATAAAAGGGCTGGGGGACGTAATTCAGCAGTAGAGAACCCCTGGATTCAACCCCTAGTTCCATAAAAAAATACCTAAAATTAAATTAAAAATCATCACTATTTACCCACTTAAAAGTGTACAATTGAGTAGTTTGGGGTATGGGCACAGGGCACAGGGTTGTACGGCCATCACCACAGTCATGCACTATGGCCCTGAAAGAGGCCTGAACAATGTCCCTGCCTGTGGAGAGCAGGTCAGACCTGAGACACTACCCTGGACTTGCCAGGATACCCGGTCAACTCGTGCTTTCAGCCAATGTCCCTGATAGCCTGTTCTTTGCCAGGTTGGTGCTGAAGGGGAGGGAGGAAAAGGGAGGGTGGCTCCAGTCCTGCCCTTGGGGAGCTGGGTTCCCAGAATCAAGGACAATCTGTAGCTCAGAAGCCCTAGAGTCCTCTCCCAGGGTCTGCAGGGAGGTAAGGCTGTGCCCTCTGGGAGTAGCTGAGCCCCAGAACACTCAGCTGCCAAAGAGCCGCTTCAGTCCGTAGGCCAACAGCAAGAAGGGGAGGGCACTCATGCAACTGACTCCGCTGACCAGCCTCCTGGGAGGGACTCCATGATCCCTGGTGAGCATTCACTAAAGTGAATTTCCCCAAATACAGTAGTAGCTATTCCTAAAAAAGAGGGGCAGCGGCACATGCGGCTCAGGAGGCTGAGACAAGAGGATCACGGGTTCCATGCTACCCTCAGCACCTTAGCGAGGCACTTTACAACTCATAGAGACCCTGTCTATATATAAAATATGAAAGAAGGCTGGGGATGTGGATCAGTGGTAAAACGCCCGTGGGTTCAATCTTCAATGCCAAAAAAGGGGCGGGGGGTTATGTGGAAATGTTTAGCAGCATTAGGGCTTCTTTGTCCATGATGAAGGGAGTTTGCAGGCCAAATTTCTCAGAAATTAAATATGGGATCTTTTTTGGTCGTGGCAGAAATTGGTTAATTAGAAAATTTACTGGTTTAAGTAACTGAATATCAGCTTCAGGAATAGCTGAATCCAGGTGCTTATGGATTTGATCAGGAATCTGCCTCTCTGTGTGTCTTGGCTCTGCTTTCTCTGGGTTGGCTCTTCTCTGTGGCTGACTGTAGGCTCCCTGCAGCTGGAGGCGGACATCCTACTGGCAGAAGATGCTTCTTTCCCAATAGTTCCCATAAAAGTCCAAGAACTGACCCTGAAAATCAGGTTGTTAGCAGAAAAAGGATGAAATCTGGGTAGGCGTGAACAGTACATGGTCACTGTGGTGTCAATGGAGAGGGCCAGAGGCGGGAGTGATGTTCCTGGGGACACAGACTTGGACAGAGACAAACTTCTGGACTCATCTCTCAGTGCTCCCTCCTCAGTCCTCAGTTGCTTCCAGTCATGTCATTGGAGCCCTGAGAGGACAGGAGCTGCTTTCCCACTATAGATTCCCTCTCCAGAAATCTGGAAGGGAGCAGTGCAGGTGCACTGGTATCCTGCAGTAGCTCATGGCCATCTGCCCACTCGTCTCTGCCTGAGCACCTGAGAAGGGAATCGTTGCCCATTCACCTCTTTTCCAAGAAAAGGGTCTTTGTCTGACTGGAAGGAATGGCACACGCCTGTAATCCCCAGCCACTCAGGAGGCTAAGGCAGGAGGATCTCAAATTTGAGGCCAGCTTGGGCAACTTAGCGAGACCCTGTCTCAAAAACTAAAAAAGGGCTGGGGATGCAGCTCAGTGGTAGAGTGCCTCTGGGCTCCATCCCCAGTACTCCAAGAAAAAGTCTTTAGAAGGGAGACAGAACCCAGACATGTTGGATAGGCATGACTCACCCGGAGAGTCTATCCAGGTATTTCAGAGGGAACCCTGTTGGAGCTTTCTGGGTGGCCCACAAATGCCCTGTCTAGGGCCTCTGAGGCCATGCCCTCATCATCTCAGGAAGCAAAACCTCTACTTTCTGCACCAGGGAGTCAGTCTGGGATATTTCTGGAAGTGGAGTGGACTCCATGTCTGGGGCCATCTCCTCCTCACTCTAAGGCTGCTACTCTAAAAGCAGCTTGCCTGGGGTGCTGGGTAAATCACTGTTCCTCTCTGGTCTTCACTATCCTGTCTGTAAAATGGGGTTGTGGGCCAGAAATTCAGTGCCTACTTTCATTTATAAATGAGAAAGTGGGCTGGGTGTGACACCAGGAAATGGTAGGGACCATGGGAAAAGAGCTGGTTCATGAGGCAGCTAACTGTCAAGTCCAAGGCTGACCCACAGTTCCACTAAAGAAAGAAAGGGCAGCAATCCAGCTACGAGGTGAAATTTCCTTCTTTTGACAATTCAAAGTCATAACCCACTTATGACTGTATTTGACTGATGGGGGTCAGATGATGCCTGAGGTCCTGTGCCTTCCTGCCACCAACTAGACCCACACTATTCTGTGACTCCCCTTCAATATGCACTTGGCCTTTCCCCAAACAGCCAGGTAGCCCCAAGGAATAGGGATCCCATCCCTCCTCTCAGTCTGTGAACCTCACCCTCACTGTGCAATAGGCTTTGGGGCTCAACCAGCTCTTTTGTGGCTCTATCAAGTGGCTAGAAGTGCCCACCAGGCTGGGAATGTGGCTCAAGCGGTAGCACACTCGCCTGGCATGTGTGCGGCCCGGGGTTCGATCCTCAGCACCACATACAAACAAAAATGTTGTGTCCGCCAAAAACTAAAAAATAAATATTAAAAAAAAATTTTTTAAAAAAGAAGTGCCCACCAACGGTCCAAGCCTCCATGGGTAAAGGTGGCCGTGGAGGCTGAGAGGACTAGAAATCATTTGTCCAGCTCACTGAAGAGGCCAACTGGAATGAAGCCACATCTAGGACCAGAATCATCCATGTCATGGTCATCGGGCTCTATGATATACAGATGGAGAGATGGAAGGAGGAGAACTCTGGTCTCTCTTCTCATTGCCTAGAGATGGGGACATAACCCAGGCACATCCTAGTTCAGCTCTTGCAGCAATGTCAATAATGGGGCCAGGCAGAGTGGCAGGGGCTGAAGGAGCAGTCTTACTAGCCTAGTAAACCCTCAAAGGCGCGGGCCCCTCCAAATCGAACCTGCTGTAGGCACCTGGGGCATGGCTCCGCACCACTGACCCTATGGGCTCTGCCCACGCTCAATACCTGGCAGGTGCCCCAAAGGATTGGGAACCCATAGCAGCTGCCTTCCAGTTGGTACGACCCTCGGGAACGAAGTGGGTCCCAGTTGATAAAACCAAGGTCAGGCAAGGGATCGGACTGGGTTACCTGGGAGGAACCCCACGCTCCCTGCACGCCCGCACAGTCCGGACAGCAAAAGGCCGCCGGGGCCGTCCAGGGTCAGCTCGCTCGGGAGCCCAAGATGCGCACCTGGCTTCAGTCCCAGCCAGGTGTCAAGCGGAGAACGCCCAGCCAGCCAGAGACGGCCCTTCCCCGCCCCCGGGTCCAACGCACACGGCGCATGTGACCCAGGGCCCGGCTCCCGGGAGGACGCGCTGACGCCGCGTCACCCCATTCCGGGCCGAGCGCCCCATTGGCTGCGGCGGCCAGCGGGGGCGGGGCTCGCCTGGCTCCGCGCCCCTACTCCCTGGTCTGCAGCCGCTGACCTGCCCTGGCCGCGTGTGCCTCAAGCCTGGCTTTCCGACTATCCCGGGTCCTGGCAAAATCAGGGCAACAGCTGGGAGGCCCTGGGCAAGTCGCTTCACTTCCTTGTGCCTCAGTTACCTCATCTGTAAAATGGGATGGGGACAGTCCTCTTCAGGCTGTTGGGGGGAATGAACGGGTTAATACAAGGAATGTATTTGCACGCTATAAGTATGCTCAATGGCTCAGTGATTATAGACCGTGGTCAAACCTGCCGGCTGAGAGCACTTGTTCACCAGACTGGGACCCCGCCCACTCCTGGGTACACCAGGGCAGAAAAGTTTGTGCCCTAAGCGCCAAGGCTCAGAACTCCCCAGCCAAGAATGGCCTGAGGATCCTATTTAGAAGTCTAGGGATCCTTGGGGAGAAACCACCCAGACAAGCAGGTTCCCCTGAAGAACTGGAGCCTCTAGCCTGACTCGTGTATTGCTGGTTGCCTCGGTGATCCTAGGCTATGGGGCAAAGATTTGTTTTGGTGGCAAAGACTCCCTCACCCTCTATAGGGGGCTTCAGCCAAGTTTCCATTTCAACTGGCTTTTCTAGTCTGGGGTGCAGGTTTTATGTTGACCTTGCCTTACCTTTTTCCCTCTCTTGAATTCCTGTAATTTTGAAGTCCATATTTATTGAGCTGTGCTCTTCACATATGTGCTAAACTCGTTATAAGAATAGTGAATTGAGAACATTGAAAGCAGATCTGTTGCAATGGATGCAGTCATGCAATCGATGACTCCAAAACCTTAGCTGCTTTGGCAAAGTGACAAATCTAAGCTAAAGACTCAGGAAAGTGAAGTGATCCCAGGTCATATAGCAAGCAGGTGAAAAACCAGATCAGCTGAGTGAATAAGGTGGTCTTGAACTTTACCCAGTATCCCCTACTCCCACCTCTTGGGAAGAACATTTGCATTTGCAGGGAAGTTACCACCGAAGGAGAGAGGCGGGTGGAAGGATGGACTGAGAAGCCAACTGTGTTCCCTGTGTTCCCTAGCAGAGGCTCATCTTGAGCAGGGCTACTTGTAGATGTGGTTTGGAGACCCCCAGGGCTCCTGGCCATCCTGTTCTGGGTAATTTTCCATAGCAGCCATTTCCAGGAAAGGAACAAAGAGGATTGTGCATCCAGGCTGAGCCCCAGGGACTTGGGCCTCTCTGGCCACTCTTGGCCTACACACCCCACCCCCTTCTAAAATACAGCACTAATTTTGTCCAGACAGGCTGTATCTGGGGTTGGCCCAGCAATTGTCAGGATGGCTGTCTCATTGAGGCCTGGGGCTCCAAGCCCTTATTCTCCATGACTATTCCCCAACAAGTTACTCTCTGTTGCAAACCTCTGGAGGCTCACTTTCAGATACCTGAATTTCAGTTCTGGTTTATTTCAGTCTACCTTCTAGGGACCCCTTCCTCTCCCCTGCCTGGCCTGGCTCAGTCCCTGTCATAGGGCCCAGGGTTCACTTCCAGCCTTCTCCTCCACCAGGAGAACTTGCCCAGCCTGTCATGGTCCAGGATAACTGGGCTTAGGTCTAACACAGAGTCCATCTCTTCCTCATGGTGGTAGATCCCAGAAACATGTACCAAATCTGTAGTCAGACAATCCTGCAGGGTCCAACTTTGCTGCTCCCTAAGTAGCTGTGTGACCTTGGGCTGGTCACTTTCTCTAGGTCATCTGGGTACTGGCTTCTTCCTTCAGAAGCTGCTGGCCCTCAAGCCCAACCCCCTCTCCTGCCTCCATGGCTGGATCTGGTAGGAAACCAGATTAAGACAGGATGGGAAATTGTAGCCTCTACTAGGCTCTCCCTTTGATCACTCCCTTTCTCTGGAGGCCAGTCTTCTGGTTCCTGTGCTGATCTCACAGTCCTCCTCCACATCATCCCTAACCTCCAAGCCAGCCCCTGGAGAGGCATCTTTAGATCCCTGTTAGGAGGAAAGCAGAGGCACATAGTGGTGATGTAATTGGCCTGAAGCCACAAAGCAGGTCTGGAAGAGCCATGACTCGTACCTCAGATTAGAGTCTGTCTTGTTCTCAAGAGTCAAATACAGAAAGTGAGGTTTGTAGGGTCTCCCTTGCCCTCCGCAGTCCAGAGACCTCTGGGCCCTGTCCTGGGGCTTCCACTCAGCCCTTTCATTAGGTGCTAGAGGAACTGAGGCCCAGGCTAGGGTCTGCTCTGGAAATGGGCACGTCTGCCAAAGGCTGCTGTGCGGGAGGCTGGATTTACGGGATGACTGGGAGGCACTCTGAGAACAGGTTTATAGGGCAGTCTGGGGAGCAGGGGGGGTTCACCCGGCTCTCCCCAGGGGGCGAGGCCGTTACTGTTAGGGGCGGGGCCTCTCGCTAGCCCCGCCTCAGCCTCGCCCGCCCAGCGGAGCTGCTGCCGGGGAAACCCAGTTTCCGAGGAACTTTTCAAGGCCTCCGGGCCACCACCGAGGACAGGGCGGGACGCGAGAGCTCGGCGCTCCCAGGGACCGGCCAAGCGAGGCGGCGGGCCCCGGCGGGCCGCCCGGAGGAGGCAGCTGCGCCATGGACGGGCCATCTTTCGGCGAGACGGCTCTGGAGCAGGCTCTGGCCGAGCTCTGCGAGCTGGACACGACACTGCTGACCGACATGGAAGGTTCGTTAGGACAGGGGGAAGCACGGGCGGCACTCGGGCCTTGTCTCCCCGGCCCGCGCAGGGCGCTGCGGAGCGGGCGGCGGCTCGGTGCTGTGCACGCGGGGCTCTCTAACGTCTCTGGGCTGCGCTGTGGGCCTTGGGGTCCCGCCTTTCCGGCGTCCGCCATTGGTGTCTCGCGCAGCGCTTTGGGGTGCGGGCCCTCGGGGGCCACACCTCGCTGGGTCCCTTGGCGACTCGGGTCGGGACACGTGCGTCTCTAGGTGTCCGGGGTTCTGTACCGCGTCCCCAGTCCGGCGGCGGCGGAGGCTAGAGCTTGGGACCCGGGCGTCGCCGAAGCTCCGCCCCCGCCGTGACATCAGCGGGGGTTACTCACGGTCATTCCCTCCGGCCGAGAGTTCAGCTCGGCCCTGGAGCTCCTGCGCATGCGCATGGCGCTGTCTCTTGTCCTCCCCTCCCCTGAAGTACAGGTGTAGGATCGCAGTAGCTTCCGTGCAAATTATTGAGCATCTACAGAATACCATCCCGGCCTAGGCACTGAGGGCTGACAGATCCAGGCTGTCCCTCTTATTGGGGAGTACAAGAGTTCCCAAGGAAACCCACAGACGGGTATTTAGTTGCACTTCGGTGATGCAGGGGTGTGGCTACTTTGGGTCCAGCGGTCTGGAGAGGTCTCTTCCGACTGATTTGAGCCCTGGGACCAATGGGGAAGAATGTTTTCAGGCCAAGGCCAAGGCCAAGGCCAGGTCCCTGAGGAAGGACCTAAGTTTGAGGGTTAGTGGAGGGTTTGCCTACAGGGGATGAGCTGGCCCATTGAGGACCAGAGCAGAGCAGTGGTGCCCACTTGCACCCATTTTTAAATTTTTTTCAGTGCTGGAAAGAACTCAGGTTGTCCCCCCATGCCAGGCCAGGGCTCTATCACTGAGTCACACTCCAGCCTCTTAAACTGCATAAAACACTCTGGTGGTTATACCTAACGGTGGCAGCAGGTGCCAGTTAGGAGGCTGTGGCTTCCACTTTCTAGATGGTGAAAAATGAATCCCTCTGGGAGATTATCCTTCACGGTTGCTGTGCAGGAGTTTTAGAAACACCAGCTACTTGGCACTTCATTGAAGGGGAAGTTGAGACAAAAAGCACAAGCTGCCTGAATTCTCACAACCTGGATGGACATGTCCATGGAGACTGCGGCCACCCTGGGGTTGGCAAAACCAACCCAACTAAGCCACCCCAAATCCTGCCCTACTGACTCAGCTAGCAGTTCTGTAGCTCTGGGCCCAGTGGGCACAGCCCTAGAGTGCCAGTATGTGGGCATTGGGGTCCAGACTTGAGCCTGAAGACTACTTACTTCCTTTGCTCTCTTGCAAAAACCCTCTCACCTGCTAAGCCTTCCAGAAAAATGAGGGCGGGGGGGGGTGGCTGATGCTGAGGGGTGTTCAGGCCTCTGGTCCTTCACAAAGGCCTCTACCTTTCCCACTGACTCATGGACAGAGCCATGGTTGACTGAAGTAGGAGGATTGCAAGTTCAAAACCAGCCTCAGCAACGTAGCAAGGCTCTGAGGAACTCAGCGAGACCCTGTCTCTGAATAAAATATAAAAAAGGGCGGGCTCAATAGTTAAGCGCCCTGTATTCAATCCCCAGCACCAAAAAGAATAAAAAATAGGAAAAGAAGCATCATTGGTGTGAGCAGCCATTGTGGGTGACAACCAGGGCCCTTGTTGGGATGGGGCCCAAGTCTTCCACTCTACCAGAGGAGTTCTCAGTTTGCATTCACATTTTCTGTTTTTTCACCCTACGATACAACACATTGTTTTCCATTGTAGAAAAATTTGGAAGCACAGGTGAGCAAAAATAAAATAAAATCTCTCCTAAACCCACCACCCAGAGATAAACAGCTTACTGCTTGTGTGTGTGTGAAGATGGCTGCAAACTCTTCATCCACTTTTTAAAAACTTTATCGAGGTATAATTTACATATCATAAAAAGCAAAGAAAAAATAATAATTTATGTGCCGTTTTAGATGCATCAAGTGATTTTTAGTAAATTTACTGAGTTGTATAACCATCAGTAGTTGTAGAGTATTTTTATCACACTTGTAAGATCTGTTGTGCCTGTTTGTATTTCCCCCTCATTCTTCTCCCCAGCTGCAGACAACCATGACTCTATTTTATTTATTTATTTATTTTAAGTTTTAGGTGACCACAATATCTTTATTTTACATTTATGTGGTGCTGAGGATCAAACTCAGTGCCTCATGCAAGCCAGGTGAGCACTCTACCACTGAGCCACAACCCCAGCCCATATATATATATATATATATATATATATATATACACACACACACACACACATATATTTTTTTAATAAATTACAATAGAATCCATTGGTCACAGCAGATTGGAAGCCTCTTGGCTCACATCAATGGCCAGAGAACAATCAAGTTCCCTCATTTATCTGCGTGATCCCTTGTTGATGGACATCTAGATTCTGGATTATTTTGTTCCATAAACTGTGCTGCACCCTGAGGCCAATCTTTGCCCAGATCCATAGGATGATAGGATGAGACTCTGGGAGAACTGCTGGTTATAGGCCTGAATGGCGCTTTCCAAACTTCTACCAGGCTTAGAGCTGGTGTAGAGAGAGGTGGGTTGGGGGGTGTTAAGCCCAGGTGTCCTGAGGCATGAATGAGGAGCTTTTGGAGTCCCAGGAGGAGGAGTCCCACTGCCTCCAGCAGTGGGGAGAGGGGTGGGAGTGGGGTGTGTTGACTTGTGTGCTAGAAGTTTCCTCTTGTGGCTGGGCTGGAGGATCTTATGGACTGAGCACTTAGGCTCTGTGTTGATGATCTCATTGAATCCTCTCAACCGCCCCAATTGGGTAAACTTAGGATCTTTATCTTCCAGATGAAGGTCTTGAGGAACAGATAGGGCAAAATGACTTGCCCAAGGTCACAGGGTCTTATAGGCACAGCAGAGCCAGGATTCAGCCCCAGGCTCTGGGCTCCAGAGCTCCTGAGCTTTCAACTGCTGGGCTCCTAAGACAGAGTGGCCAGTTGGGGAATGTGCTCTACATTTTTTTCTGTGGTCCTGGGAGTGGGTCATAGAGGGGCTTGGAGTGGCTTTAGAGCCAAGAGACTGAAAACTGGCACGAGGGAGCCAGCTGAGGGCCCTGAGCCTCACCCAGCCCAGCCACCTGCCTCCTCCAAACCCTCTGTCATGTGAGTGGATTTTGGGGTGGGGCTGCCACCTGGAGGCCTCGTTTCTGTGGGTGATGGTGTGCTCTGGGTCTGAGCCCAGCCACTGCACCCTGACCTCAGGTGAGCTCCACCTTCTCCCTTCCTTGCTCCCTGCTTGGGGTCCCTGGTGGCTGGGGAAAGAGAAGGAAGGAGAGCAGCCCTTACACATGTTGAGGATTATTATTAAGCCTGTGGCAGGCCTCACCTCCCTGCTGAGGATTAATTTATCAGATCTTGCACAAGTTTAAAAGTGCAGAGGAGTTGAATGGAGACAGAATTGTGATTGGGGGCCAGGAAGGGGAACTAGGCCCAGCTGAGGAGTCTGAGGAGTCATTCTGGGGGCTGTGGGCAGCCCAAAGTCTTTGATGAGACTCATTCACTCTCTTGTCTGAATACCTTCATGTCTGCCCTGTCCCTCGGACCCCAGATATCTGCCAAGCTCTGATCAAGTGTGGCCTCCTGGTAGGCCCTCCTGGGTCTCATCTCAGCTCCCCCACCCCAGTGCCACCTCACCCCAAGTGAGCAGAGCTCTCCTTGGCCTGATGTCCCTCCCTCTGTGTCCAACCCCACCTCTGGGGGGCCTTGTTTCTAGCCTGTGTTTGACTGCTTTCTGGATCCAGACCCACCCTGGTGGAGAGGGCACACTGGAGGCCCCCTGCTGCCCACACCTCTCCCTAGGGTATCTCAACTTTCTTTCTAGTCCCACCAAGCACTAGCACTCCTTAGGAAACAACTCTAGGCTGCTTACTGCCCAGCTTTGGGCATAAATGTCCCCAGTGCCCCTCCAATAATGTTCTGCTGTCTCAGCATGGCATTCAAGATGTGCAAGATTTGCCAAGCCTGCCTCCCCCCATGACTTTGCCCACCCATTCAGAACCCACCTCTCAAGCCCACCCCTTCTCCCTCACCTCCATGTGCAGAGCCCTCAGGAGGAGAGCCTGAGAGGCTCTCTCTTCCCTTGCCTGTTTCTGCCTCTTGGTATCTGATCTACCTTTAATCCCAACATGGCCATGAACTGCTTTCTCTAGGGAAAGTATCCTGTCTTTCTGAACCACAGGGGCCTCCTTTGAAAAACAGGAAATGGTGGCTATCAAGTTTGCTGTCTCTCAGTCCCTGAGAGTTCAGTCCTAATTCCTCTGCAGCTGCAGGGCTGGGGGAGTGCAGAGGACCGTGCTGGGAATGGGCCCAAGGAGGCAGGTGGCCAGGTGACTGGGAGTTACCTCTTGCCCGACAGTTACTTAGCTGAACACAAACATCTCGAGTGACCTGGTCAGACCTGGTCAGCTCCAAGCAGGGGTTGCTGCCAGGTAGAGGCCTGAGATTTGGACTTTGCCTGCTGACAGGTATAGCCTGGGTTGGAAGTGTCTCTGGCCTTGTCTCCTGCCAGCCACATGCCCTGCATATGTGCTTTTTGACCCTGGGACTGGCAGGGACTTCACAGTCCTATCATCCTATGAGCCCTGCATTCGATGTACCCCACAGAGGTAGTTGGGGGTAGTGGGGACTTCTAAAACATGTCAGGGGCTCCTGGCAAGAGGGCAGGGAGCCTTAGAGCTGGCTCCAGCTATGGAGCCCTCTGGGTTCAGGGCTTGTTAGCAGTGGGCCAGGGTCGGGGGGCCTGTCCCCAATCCCAAAATTTTGTGACTTGGAGATTTTCCCCTAGATTTTTCCTCCCAACTGACCTCCCCCACAAGCTTTCTCCCAGCAAACCTTGCACCTCCAAGTTGTTCCTACCAGGCTCGGGGTGGAGCCCAAAGCTCTTCAAGTCCATCC